TTGGAGAAGAACCTGGCCAACACAGCGAAACTCCATGTCTACCGAAAACACAAAAATTAGCTCGGTGTGGTGGCACACGTCGTTTGTCTCTTTTTAATCAAATACTTTTGAAAGGCATCACAACGATGAACCAAATTTCAAAATTTATTTACAGTGAAATTTAAAATTAATTCTCCCAGTTTCTATACAAAAACTTTGGTTTCTAGTTTCTCTTTCTGTTTTTACAAGATGATTCAAAGAAACTGAAAACCTATGCTACTGAGGCACAAGAATCGCTTGAACCGGGGAGGTAGGGGTTGCAGTGAGCCAAGATTGCACCACTGTGCTCCAGCCGGGGTGACAGAGCACGACCTTGTATCCAAAACAAAAAATAAAAAAAAAGAATGAATAAGACCTACTATGTGATAGCACAACAGGGTGACTATAGCCAATAATTTAAAAACAACTAAAAGAGTATAATTAGATTGTAACACAAAGGATAAATACTTGAGGGGATGGATTCTCCATTCTCCATGATGTGATTATTACACACTGCCTGCCTGTATGAAAACATCTCATGAACCCCATAAATACATACTTACCATGTATCACAAAAATAAAAAATAAACAAAATAAAAAATCCCAGGCTTCATTTCATTTTTTAAAAAAATACCGTTTTACAACATACTATCATGTCTATTTTAATATGCATTTCTATATACATTTTATATGCTATATGCTATAGCTAATAAATTAACTCACTCAAAAAATATTTACTGAGTACTCATTCTGTTATGCTGCTTTGTTTTTTTTCTTTTTCAGGCGCCTCTATTATTTGTCTTCTTTGCTCATCTTTCTTATTGTTACTTTTTCTTGAATCTTTTAAATCTACTTTATTTTTTAAAATGTCATCTTTCCACCGCCGATTGTTTTCTTAAATGGCATCTTTTGCTCTTGTCTTGTTTCTATTTGAGGCTTCAGCTCTGAAATTCTTTTTTTCATTTACTTCTAATTTTCTCTGTCATCTCATTCCCACATCTTCATAATTGATATATGTTGTTCTTTCATGTCTCATGTCATTTTCTTAATGCCTTTTAACTCATTGTGAAATAGATAACAGTTGTGGTTATAATTTTGGTCTATTTTGTGTGCATTTGTTTCACTGCAAGTTTTTATGTCTGGAGAGATATTCTGTCCCTTTTTCTCGTATAATAACTTTGTGATTTGATCTCAATACGTTTCTGTAACTCATTTTTATGTGAATTTAATTTTCTTGAACTTTTAGAATGAGTAGGTTCAGGGAATATAAGTTCACAAAGCTGTTTCTGGGCAGTGTTAAAAAATACATGGGTTTGCTCTGTGGTTTTCTAAGATTTCTTGATTCTATGACTTTGCCTCACTTTTATATGGACTATCTCCTTCTCTTCTTGTCTCTATTTTGTCCCTTTCATAAAATTTTATTCCACTCCCAGCATAAAATTTTCATAAGATTTTATACCACTCCCTTTTCCTTAGGGGTCTGGTCTAGAATGGTACCTTGGCAAGTCAGTTTTGAATGTTCACAGGAGGTAAACTACTCCTGCCTAATTGGTCTTTCCTATGGTAGACCTTCACCCAATCAATAATGGAGAGAATAAAACACCTCTGAGCTACTGCTATCTAAATGGCCAGCATAGTCTTTTAGTCGATACTGTTGGCTATTCTGGAATTCTCCTTTTCTAAGGTTCATCAGATGTTGTCCCATTGTTGCCTTCTCGCTTTTGCAGAGATGTCAATATCAACTGTGTCTAGAGACTATTGATAGTTTGCCTCACCTAGTTATGTTTTGGGTTTCACGGGGATAGCAAGTCACATGGTTTGTTGTAATTGTTTTATGGATTTTAAACTTTGGTTTCTAGTTTCTCTTTCTGTTTTTACAAGATGATTCAAAGAAACTGAAAACCTATGCTACTGAGGCCACACCACTGACTTCCCGTAACTCACTTCTTCTCCCTATCCTTTCCCCTCAGGACTAGCTTTTCAATGTCTGTGACTTATTAGGCATTACCATCTTTAAGTTCTACTTAACAGAGAAGCTAGTAACCCTTTGGTCTCTTTTTAATCAAACATTTTTGAAAGGCATCACAACGATGAACCAAATTTTAAAATTTGTTTACAGTGAAATTTAAAAATAATTCTCCTCCCAGTTTCTATATAAAGCTTTCACAAAACCTATCTTTAGTGTCCATGTCATAAAACTGCATTAAAAAGATTTTCATTCTTCAGTAACAAAATTCCTCAGTATGGAGAGAATCTAAGATATTTTTACCAAACCAAATTCTGTGCCACAGACTACAGAATAAAAATATTACTGAATAAATTATGTATTAAATCATCCCGAATAACCATCGCATTATTTTTGCACTTTAGAGATAAAGTGACTGATGTATAACAGGTACTCATTGAAGGATGCAAGAAAAGCCAAAGTTGGTTGTCTCCATTTTTGCAATGTACTGTTTTCCTTTTCAGTCCTCCCCGGCGGAAAAAAAATACCTCTCTAAATCTAACTCAATCAAAGTTTCAAATAAATTCAAGATAAACTAACCTTGGAAAGTTTTTGTAGTCTATTTCTCATCTACCAAATCTGATTGGAATCCAGCAACAAAAAATCCTTTCCAGAAGTAAACTACCTTCATGTTCGTAAATACCGATTAAACCACAATTTAATAGGCTATTTACAACACTACCCATCACGACTGATTCAATCAGCTACACAAATTTCAAACTTATTTTTTTTTCTGTAAAACATCAGACAAGAGATCTATCAAATTCATTAAATGTGACAAACACCAAAGTATTACCCAAAGTCTAGTTTACCTAAGAGAGGGCTGCTTTCTCCTCTCTTTCCACAGTTCCAATATATAAACTACGTTTTTGGAATCTAAACACTAACGTTGCCCTGGGGTCAGTACATGCCAAATATTATTAGTAGTATTAATGTTCTATCAATTCGTTTCCCACCCCCCTCTGTCACACAGTGAGGCCTCCAAATAAAAGCTCCTACGCCTCACTCCCCAGCCCGCCCAAGAGTTTTTGTTTTGGCAATGGAGGATTGGTGGTGCTTTTGAGATAACAGAAAGTAACAAAAGGCATCATCAATATGAACCGTCAGCCACGTCGGAAAGTCTAGGCGCCGGGGGGCGGGTGGACAGCGCTTTAGATCAGGTAAAGTAAACAAGGTGACTGCGTGTGGAGGCGGCTGTTATTGTTTGTACGTGGGTCTGCCGCTCTGGGTGGGATGGGGGAACCTACGAGGACACCCACCCCAGCTTCGCAGCCTCTGTAAGAAAAAGGCAACTTGCAGGTTCCCGAGAGGAAACCGAAGAACGGTAAAAGCGTTCTTTCCCAGGACTTCATTTCGGAATCGCGGAAGGACCAGCCGAAGCAGGAGCTGTCAGAGCGGCCGTGAACCCAATGGCTCTGTCCACACACAGGCAACCTGCCTCCTTGGCCCCTTTCGGCTCATCCGGGCGTCCTCAAACCTTCCGTCCCCCTCCCTATGCCACTTATCGTCCAGACGACGAGGGGAAAGAGGTGGCCCGAAAGCCGCAGCTCCAGGGTGGAGAGGGCCGCTGAGCCCCGGGTCCTCGGCCTTCTGAGCCGTTGCCCCTCGCTCACCCACCTGATGCTCTTTCACCACTTCGCTGAGGCAGGGATACCGCTCTGAGATCCATCGGTAAAACTTGGGGACTCCCATTTCGACCGTCAACACTAATCCCAGTCAGGGCCAAACCGAAACCAAACGCCCCGCCGGGGCTCCGCCGCCGCCTCCGGCCGTCGCTCCGCGGATGACAACACACCGCCCGGCCGACCATAGAGAGCGCCCGCTGGGCCTAGAGCGGCAGGATCCGAGGCCGTCCCAGGGGCGGGGCTTAGCCCGCCTGGCCTCGCGCAGCCGGGGCCACGGTACTGGTCAGTGGCGGTCGGGGGATCTGCGGAGGTTTGCTCGTGTGCTTCCACGTAGGTGCGAAAATGCCCCAGGATAGAGCTATGCTTTCTAAGTGGATTTGGAATTGGCATAAAAACCGCACGAAGGTGTGGGAAGGGTATCGAACACTGATTTTTGTTACGCTTCTGTCTCCTAGGGTTGCTAATCTCAGTATTTTTCAAACAGATTTGGAATGATGATTTATTTGGCTTAGTTTGTTTTGCCAAGAATTTTTTTCTCTGAGGAATTTAAACCCACGGTAAAGTTTTTTTAAAAACGTTCTTTTCCAAATTGTTCAAAAATTTCCCAAGTACCCGCCCCCCGCAACTGTTAACATAAGACCTTGGATACGAAATCATTTAATGTTTAGTTTTTACATTCATGCGTCCGCGTTTATCATATTTTTCTCCATCACACTTTCAACTGGACAGCAAAGGCGAGTTCTATCAATTTAAGTGAAATTATCAGTTTTAAATGTAAGAGTTTTCCACTTATTTGAATGTAGTAACCTCGTTACTTTGTATTTGTCTTCTGAACAAAAACTTACAGAAAAACCTTAAACATTTAATACTTTTTGGATTTTAAGATCTCAGAAAATGCTAAGTATCGCTGTCTTTCATGACCACTGGATTCTGCATTCTGGGACTGCAGTATGGCAGCATCATACAAATTACAGAATGTTTATTTTGTTTTCATATTCACGCTTCTTGGCTTATATTTTTTCCCTATCACACTTTAAAACAAAGTTATATTAAGTGAACTTAATGATATGCTATTTATATTTATATTTATATATCTCTCTTACTAGACTGTCACTTCCTGGAGGGCAGGAGAGGGTAACTCTATGCACAAGTCTGGCGCAATGCCTTGCCCACGGTATTTATTCCATATAATTTTGTTCTTCAAGTGAATCCTTACAATAGCTAGGACTTTTAAAAGGAAATCAAAAGAAGTTGTAAAATGAAATTAGGTTAGGCTTGCTTGTTTCTTGCAAATACAGTTTTTGACCATAAGAACACATGATATTCCATTTCTCCAATTATAATGCACAGTATGTATTAAGAAAGCAGTTTATTTCTTAATAACTGAATGTTATTTTACATATAATTAATGATCAGAGAGAAATAACAGTTGCTCTGAGAACGTAAATTTATGTTGTACTTTAGAATTGAACAGATACAACCACAGATTCATACCAAATGCATTACTTTTAGATTAACATTCTTTTACATAATTTCATTTCACATATATGGGGTCCAACCAAGATACATCTGGCATAGTAAGTTTTCATCAGTAGCTTCTTGTATAAGGTAATGCACATGTCCTTCAATAGATAATGGCAGTCCTGTCACTCTATTTCGAGTCTTGATTACACCTTGTAGTCGCTGCTCAATGTCAAGAACATGGGTCTTGGCCTAAAAAGAAGAAATATAAAACCAAAAACAGATGTTGATAATTTGGAATTACTACCTTTCTTTATATTTTGACATTTAATAAATGTTAATACAATTTTACTGACCAATACCCCTTTTGTAAGAGCAAATACAGGAAAAGAAGCGAACAAATACAGTTAACTTGTGATACTGATTTTGAGGCCTGCAAGATTGATTCAACATCAACTGCTTGGACATGTTTCTGGACTACGTGAAATATCAGGGAATTATTTACACATTACAATTCTGGAAAAATAATTTTTAAAATCTGCTTTGGAAGTGTTTAGTACTTAAACATTTGAATGAATATTTGAATAACAATGATCTACTGCCTAATATTTACATGATGTTAGTACACACAAATGGGTGTTCTAAGTGAGCTACTTGGGTACAATTTCTTAAGCATATCTGAATGCAAAAGGAAGAATAAAGTTATTATAAGAATAATTCTTGGAAGTGGTGCTGGGTGGGCCGGTGGGCTGGGCTGCAGCCCGCGAATGCAAAGAGGAGGGCCACGGGATGGGGGCTGTTGCTGTGCTGTCTGCCATCGACTCTTCCGCCAAGAGCCTGGACTCCAAATGTGACTTATGTTCCAGCAGAACTCCAGGTGTTTAAAAGAACCCCTACATCCTGCTTATTTCTTTGGTGAAGCACTTGAGCCATGTGCATGAACCAAACCCAGTTCATTTAAGACAGGTGTTTAAGTTACTTTGCCAGATCTTTATCCTAATGGGTCTGCTGTGTTCTTTCACTTGTGACGAGTTTAGCTCATTGAGACTACATCACCACAGAGCTATTACTCACTTAATGAAGTCCACTAAAGAGAGAGTTCATCAGGATCCTTGTGAGGCTATTTCTCATATCCAGAAAAATCAGATCAAGGGAAGTAGCCTTTGAAGCACAAACTTCATGTTACTTAAATGAATTTGAAAAACTTGCCATCTTAGGAAAAGGTGGATATGGAAGAGTATACAAGGTCAGGAATAAATTAGATGGTCAGTATTATGCAATTTAAAAAATCCTGATTAAGGGTGCAACTAAGATTGCATGAAGGAACTATGAGGAATGAAGGTGCTGGCAGTCCAGCACCCTAATATCATTGGTTATCACACTGCGTGGACAGAACATGTTCAAGTGATCCAACCACAAGCAGATAGAGCTTCCATTCAGTTGCCATTTCTGGAAGTGTTCTCCGACCAAGCAGAGGACAGATACCAATATGGTGTTAAAAATGGTGAAAGTAGCAGGTCATCCATTATCTTCACTAAGCTCACCTCAGAAAAGAAAAACCCTTTGGAGAATCTGACACTCAAAATCAGAATAACAAGCTGGTGAACTATACCATCAATTCCATCTTAAGAGACACCAGTGAATTTGAATCATCCCTGGAGCTCCCGGAAAATGGCTTGGTGGGTTTGTCCACCAGGTCAGTTGTGGAACAGCCCCTGCTGCTCAGCTGTAATTCCCTCCAAGAGGAGAATTTCACATCCACTGAGGAATCTTCCAAAGAAAACTTCAACTTGTTGGGGATAGAGGTGCAGTACCACCTGATGCTGCACATCCAGATGCAGGTGTGCAACTCCACCTGTGGGACTGGCTAGCCGAGAGAAACAAACAGGGCCAAGAGTGTGTGGATAAGTTTGCTTGTCCTTATGGCCAGTGTTGCAACAAAAAATTTTCAAGAATTAGTGGAAGGTGTGTTTTACATACATAACATGGGAATTGTAAACAGAGATCTGAAGCCTAGAAATATTTTTCTTCATGGCTCTGATCAGCAAGTAAAAATAGGAGACTTTGGTCTGGCTTGCCCAGACATCTTACAAAAGAACACAGACTGGACCAATAGAAACGGAAAGAGAACACCAACACATATATCCAGAGTGGGCACTTTTCTGTATGCTTCATCCCAACAGTTGGAAGGATCTGAGTATGATGCCAAGGGTCTCATTCTTGCCCAGGCTGGAGTGCAGTGGGGTCATCATAGCTCACAGCAGCCTCCAACTCCTGGGGTCAAGTGATCCTCCCACCTCAGCCTCCCAAGTAGTTGGGACTACAGCAGTGTGCCACTGTACCCGGCTAATTAAAAAAAAACTATTTGTAGAGACCAGGGCTGGCTTTGTCCAGTTAGATATGTATATAGCTTGAGTGTGATTCTGCTAGAGCTCTTTCAGCTGTTTAGAACAGAAATGGAGCAAGCAGAAGTTTTAACAGGTTCAAGAACTGGTCAGATACTGGAATCCCTCAGTAAAAGGTATCCACTATAAGCCAAGTATATCTAGCACTTAATGAAAAGGAACATGTCCCAGAGACCATCTGCTCTTCAACTGCTACAGAGTGAACTTTTCCAAAATTCTGGAAATACTAATCTCACCCTACAGATGAAGATAATAGAGCAAGAAAAAGAAATTGAAGAACTAAAGAAGCAGCTAAACCTCCTTTCTCAAGACAAAGGGTTAAGGATGACATGAAGGATGGGGGCGTACGGGTCTAGCCTTCCTCAAGCTATACCAGTGGGATGAAAGTGGATTTAAACTCTTAAGGTAGTTAACTGGAATGTAAATTTTTACTCTTTATTAGAGTATGGTTGGTATAATTCATTGTATTTAGTAAGCCTGTACAAGACTTTTTTTTTTTTTGAGACAGAGTCTTGCTCTGTCGCCCAGGCTGAAGTGCAGTGGCCGGACCTCAGCTCACCGCAAGCTCCGCCTCCCAGGTTTACGCCATTCTCCTGCCTCAGCCTCCCGAGTAGCTGGGACTACAGGCGCCCGCCACCTCACCCGGCTAGTTTTTTGTATTTTTTTTAGTAGAGATGGGGTTTCACCATGTTAGCCAGGATGGTCTCAATTTCCTGACCTCGTGATCCGCCTGTCTCGGCCTCCCAAAGTGCTGGGATTACAGGCTTGAGCCACCGCGCCCGGCCGAGACTTGTTAAAGATGTAAGAGTGGCCTCCCCGCCAAAAATAATCCTCAATTTATTCTAACTTATTAAAAACAACTATCTGAGCTAGGTGCAGTGGCTTATGCCTATAATCCCTGCATTTTGGGATGCTGAGGTGGGTGGATCACTTGAGACCAGGGGTTCAAGACCAGCCTAGCCAACACGGTGAAACCCATCTCTACTAAAAATATAATAATTAGCCGGCTGTGGTGGTGCATGCTTGTAGTCCCAGCTATTTGGGAGGCTAAGGCAGGAGAACTGCTTGAACAGGGGAGGCAGAGGTTGCAGTGAGCCAAGATTGTGCCACTGTGCTCCAGCCTGGATGACAGAGCAAGACTTTGTCTCAACAACAACAACAACAACAACAACAACAACAAAACTATCTGCAAACTTTGCAGCTTCAACTAAGTAAGAAGTGAATTGCTGCATTTGTTAACATAGCTTGTGACATACTCGTATGATATTAAAGCTCAGACCTGTTGTTCTGTAAGTTCAGGCAATTTGTACTTAAGTTTTTCCTACTATATCTCATAACTGTGAATTGTCTATGGTTAAACAAGTGTGCTATGAACAGTTTTATTATACAAATGAGAATACTGTTAACATTAGTGACAAAAAGAAAACTTATGGCATTGTGATACTAGAGAACTAGATTTCAGAGTAATCAATAGTCACTAACAGTATTTCCAAGCAGTTCTCATGCATAGAGATGAGAACGATAGCTGCATATCAAGTTCATTTGTAGAGATGAGGACTACAGCCCGTATCAAGCTATACCTTCTACTAACCTTTTCGTTGACAACTTCTCCAGTTTCATTCAGTGGTGCTTTGGAATGCCCTTTCACTGGTTTACTCCACTCCACAAGAGGATCATGTAGAAAAGTCTTTAAGACACTAAAATTGAAACAAATATTGGGGTACGATGCTACCTTTGCATGAAGAAATCTTGCTAACATCAATATTTAAGTGAAGGATAAGAAACTAATGGTAATACTCCTATAATACACATTACTACCTCTTCATTAAGTTATGTGAAATTTCTGTTTTGGTGTGAGGGGAGGGTAAGAGAAGGGAAGGCAGGAAAAAAGGCAAGATAGAGGAGAGTCAGAAGTGTTTTGGAGAATAGAGTAAGATGAGTTCTATGTGCCATCTCTAAGTGTATACTGTGAACTGGTAAATGCCTATATGTTGAATGAAGGAGTTTTATCCCTTACCATGTCTTCAATAACCATATAACATCTATAGCTACCATAGAGATCTAGCCCAGACCTTTTTTTCTGCACTCTAAACATCAAATCCAATTACTTATGGGAAATACCCAGTTGGATATGTTCCAAGCACCTCAAACTCAGTATCTCCAAAATAAAATTCATTACCTTTTCCCAACTATTTCTCCGTATTCCCCAAATCATCATCCACCTAGACAAAAATCTAGGAATCATCCTTGCCCCGTCTTCCTCTAACATGCAATTACACCTCCTAAATCTCTTTGGAATCTCTTCACTTATCTCCGTCTCTGCTGCCGTGATACTATCCAGTACACTATCATCCTTTCCTGGGTTACTGCAATAAACCTCTAACTAGTTATGATATACTTCCTATTTCAGAGAATTTGCTTTTGCATATGTCCAACTAACCAGTATTCTACCATAATGTCTGACAGACAGCTTTTAAGTAATGAAAGTGAATAAATAAGCTTTAAAGGTCCTTTCAAACAATCTGTTTTCCACAGCTAACTTCATACTTAAAGGTCAAAGACTGACTGCTCTACCCCTAAGATCAGGAACAAGACAAGGATGTCCACTTCTAGCATGTCTATTCGACGTTGATTTAGCTAGGGCAAGTAGGCAAGAAAAAGAAATAAAAGGCATTGATATTAGAAAGGAAGAAGGAAAACGATATCTGCAGATGACATGTTTGTTGCGGAGAGAAAATCTTAAAGAAGTCACAAAAATAATTATTAGAACTAATACTTGAATTCAGCAGATTGTAAGATACAATATCAATATATAAATATCAATTGTATATCTATACACTAGCAATGAACAATCCAAAAATGAAATTAAGAAAGATTCCATTTAGAATAAAACCAAAAGGAATAAAATACTTAGGAATACAGTTTTAAAAAGTTAAATATAAGACTTGACCCTAAAAACCACAAAACATTGATGAAAAAAATAAAATTCAAATAAATGGAAAAACCTTCCATGTTCATGGATCAGAAGACTTAATATGGTTAAGACAGCAATACTCCCTAATTGATTTACAAATTCAATGTCATTCCTATCAAAATCCAAACTGATTTTAAAATTAATATGGAAATACAAGGGACCCATAATAGCTAAATGATCTTGGGGGAAAAAAGCAAAGTTGGAACACTCACACTTTCTGATTTCAAAATTTACGACAAAGGTACAATAATCAAAATACTGTGTTGTTAGTGTAAGGTTAGGCATATAGATCAATAGAATATGGCTGAAAATCAATTGACCATTTCAACAAAAAAGCCAAGATAATAAAATGAGGGGGAAAATATTCCTTTCAAAAAATGGTGCTAGGACAAATGGATATGCACATGCAAAAAAAATGAATATGGACCCCTGCCTTACACCATATATACAAAATAACTGAAGACAGATAAAAGTTCTAAATAGCAGAGCTAAAAGTCAAAAATACTTAGAAGAACACATAGGTATAAATCTTCATGACTTTGGATTAGGGAATCGTTTCTTAGATATGACACCAGAAACACCAAAAATAACCAGAAGAAAAAAAACCAAATTAGACTGCATCAAAATTTAAAACTTTTATGTTTCAAAGGCCATCATCAAAGAAAGAGAAGAGACAACCCACGGATGGAAGAAAATATTTGAAAATCATATCTTATAAAGGCCTTGTATCCAAAATGTGTGAAGAACTCTTGCAACTTGGCTGGGCAGGGTGGCTCATGCCTGTAATCCCAGCACTTTGGGAGGCTGAGGCGGGTGGATGGCTTGAGCTTACGAGTTCGAGACCCGTTTGGGCAACATGGCAAAACCCCTTCTCTGCTGGGGAGGCTGAGGCAGGGAAATCGCTTGAACCCAGGAAGTGGAGGTTGCGGTGAGTGGAGATCATGTTACTGCACTCCAGCCTGGGTGACTGTCTCAAACAAACAAACAAACAAACTCTTACAACTCAAGAATAGGCCAGGCATGGTAGCTCATGCCTATAATCCCAGCACTTTGGGAGGCCAAGGCAGGAGGATCACTTGAGGTCAGGAGTTTAAGACCAGCCTGGCCAACATGGTAAAACCCAAACTCTACTATAATTTATACGCAAGAATTAGCCAGACATGGTGGCTCATGCGCACATGCTGTCCCAGCTACTTAGGAAGCTGAGGCATGAGAATTGTTTGAACCCAGGAGGCAGATGTTGCAGTGAACCGAGATCATGCCACTGCACTCCAGACTGGGTGACAGCGGAACCCAGTCTCAAAGGAAAAAAAATAAAAAGAATAAAAAGACAACCCAGTTTAAAAGTGGGCCAAGGATTTCAATAGACATTTGTCCAAAGATGATCTACAAATGGCCAACAAACACATGAAAAGATGCGCACCATCACTGGTCATTAGGGAAATGCAAATTAAAACCACAATGAGATACAACTTCACATCCCTAGAATGGGGAAAATAAAAAGGCAGACAATAACCAGTGTTAGAAAAGATGTAGAGAAATTGAAACCCACATACATTACTAGTGGGATTATAAATTGTTACAACTGCTTTGGAAAATGATTTGAGAGTTCTTCAAAATGTTAAGTATAGCATTTAACATATGACCCAGCAATTCCACTCCCAGGTATACACAAGAGAACCGAAAACATATGTCCACATAAAACTTGTGCACAATGTTCACAGCCAAACTATTTATAATACAAAAAAGGTGGAAACAATCTAAATGTCTCTTAACTGATGAACAGAAAAAGAAAATGTAGTATATCCATGTAACAGGATACCATCTGGCAATAAAAAACAATGAAATACTGATACATGATGAACACTGAAAATATTACGTTAAGTGAAAGAAGACAAACATGAAAGGCCACATATTAGATGATTCCATTTATATGAAATGTCCTGAACAGGTAAATCCATAGAGACAGAGAATATTATATATGAGTGGTTACAAGTAGATAGCAGGGGTGGGAGGACGAAGGAATCAGGAGTGACTGCTAATGCCTGTGGAATTTCTTTTTGGGCTGATGAAAATGTTTTAAAATTAGATAGTGGTAATGGTTGCACAATCTTGTGACTATACTAAAAACCACTTAATTATGTACCTTTAAAAGGGTGAATTTATGGTATGTAAATTATATCTGCATAAAGCTATTATTTAAAAAAACTATTTCAGTCAGTGCAAAGTGGTTCCCATATGAAAACAAACATATATAGGGGCCAATAATTATATTCAAGGTTACTGTTAAATTATTTACAAAGTATAGATGATTACCTCATTAAAGGCTCTCGCTGATCACGCATAAGCCTCATTGTAACTTCACATGCTCTTCGAAAAAGACCCTCTGTTCCCATAGGACCCATTCCATTAACCATATTATGAGTCAGGCGAAATGGTACAATTTCTGGAACTTCAAAGGTTTCTCCCTTAGAAACAATACATTTTGTTACAAACTAACAATGTTAGAATTTAAAAATCTTTACTCAGAGAACTTCATGTCCAGATTCTTTCAACAAAGAGCAAAAATACCTTCAAAATATTTATGTTGTAATTACATTAGAGGTTTGTAACATGAAGGAGCCATGTAGCTCTCTGCCTTTGCTTTTATAGAACTGAAACCATACTTGATCTTGGATAAGATCTAGGAGATAAGTGGATTACCTTTCACTGAGTTTAGTACAGTGAATAAACAGTATTACAGAGAAAGTTTGTGCATTCAATATTTAGTCTCATATTTTCTTTGTCTTTCTTGAATAATATGAAATACAAATATTCTCATATATTTCTATTTTTCTTTAACACTTTCATCTTAAAACAAGAGATGAGAAGCAGCCAAGGGTCAGATGCTTACATCCCCTCATAAAGGAAATAAAACATGTCATATAATGAAGTCCAGTTGTTCATTTTCTGCTGTCCTCTAATCTGCCTTTTCTAGGGACCTTTCATCCCTCCAATCAGTTACCCTAAATTCCTCTCTTGTATGGTTTAACCCATGCCAGTGTTTTATATCTGATTTGTTCTCAGTTGGATCTGTGATCTTTCTTGGTTTCTTGTGATAGCACAACGCAACCTGTAGATGATGGAGGTGAAGAAAATAGTGCGCTAATCTACCAGTCTGCCCTGCAGGATTCTAATCCTGGAAAATTGTAGGGGGCCTTAAAGATGGGTCCAATTGCCTCAATTTATTCCCAGGTCCCACTCTGGATCTACAGAATCTGAATCTCCTGGGTATCTATAAATTTTTTTTAAATTATTGGATAATTCTGATATGTTGCTAGAATTGGAAACTATCATATTAAACTACTCTGTCTCTCTAAAACTGAGTGTCAGTAAAATGAACTGATCTGCCCATATTCACATAACTAATAACTGAGTCAGAACCTAAACCTATGTTCTTGGACTTCAAATTCAGTACTAGCTGTACAGTATCACTCTTCTAAGTTCTCTCCATCCTAATATGCATTACTACATGATCCACTGATGAAAACTAGTCAACAAATTATCAATATAACTCAACTGTGAGTATAACTGCTACCAACAGGTATATCAAGGAAGAACAGTTGTTGAGAAAAGGAAATTGGGGGAAAATATACAATAAGTAAGAGTAACTCACATCACATACCTTATTGAAAAGACAGTTGAAATCTACATGTACGCATTCACCAGTCAAAGAATCAAAGAGAATATTTTCACCATGACGGTCTCCAAGCCCCAGAATATAACCAACCATTGACATTACTGCAGTGGAACGGCAGTATGCTGATCTACTACTGTACCTAAAAGAAACACAATGCCTATGAAATATCCATATACCATATGAGGTGAATATAAATCTAAAATATTAAAAATAAACATTCAACCATAACAACATATAATATTCTTGGTAACCTACCATGATGTAGGATCAGGGAATGTTCTCAGAAACCACTCATGAAAAATAGGAGGATGCCTGGGCAGGAGAAATTCTTGGAATACTTTGAGTTTTTCAGATAAAGCTGCTGACTTCGGTAGCATACACTGGCGAAGTTCTTTTCCTGTCATATACACTCCTGCAAGGAAGAGTGATATCCAATAATCACATCAGCCAAATGAAAAAAAAAATTTTTTTTTGTTAAAATTGGCCAGGAAACACCTACTTCTTTTCAAATTGTTATTGAAAAACAAGCATAAATGAAAAATTTTCAATTAAGCATACATAAAGTTACTGGTTATATAATAAAATAATAAACCACATTATCTTCCCTTGATACAGATGACCCTTGAACAATGTGAGTTTGAACTGTGTGGGTCCACTTACATGTGATATTTTTCAACCAAACATGGATCAAAAACATGCGATGCAAAATCATTATATACTGAGGGCTGACTTTTCATACATGAAGGTTCTGCAGGGCTGACTGTGAGACTTGAGTATGTGTGGATTTTGATATGTGAGGGTATTCTGGAAGCAATCCCCCAGATAAGGGGGGACCACTGTAGTTACCCAAATGAAGCCTCTTATTGATGAAAATTAATGTCAGTTAAAACCAGTGTTGTGAAATCAAATAGTTCCAGAATACAAGACTCAGAATTAAGTCCCAAATGAATGAACTTATTTTGCATATATATGTACATATCAATATATATGTATATATACATGTATTTTACACTGACACAAATTATCAAAGAAAAAATATATTTTCAAATCCAAACTCAGACATATACAATATTTCATACTTATAAATAAAATAGTCAACAGCAAGTTCTTTGAACTCTGACTCAAGTGTCTTTGAGTTTCAGTTTTGCAACTGTGAACTCAGACAAGTTACATTAAGTTCTCTGGCACTGTCCATAAAATAGGGATAATCAGGCGCGTTAACAATAATAAATAAAATAATGTACATAACATACTTGGCATAATACCCATTATACATTAATTTAACAGTATTACTTAATGTTATAAATTGAACTTTATCTCTCAAAAAATATGCTGAAATCCTAATTCTTGGTACCCAGGAATGTGAGCTTATTCAGAAACAGGATCTTTGCAGATGTAATGTTGTTAAGACAAAGTCATTAAGGTGAGCCTTTAATTCAATAATCCAATGACTGGTATTCTTGTGAGAAAATGGAGACACAGAGACATAGAGACAATGCTATGTAACAATAAAGGCAATGTGGTACAATACATCCAGAAGCCACAGAACACCAAAAGGTTAAAAGAAAGGCAAGGAACATTAGCCTTCAGAGAGGTCATGGTTCTAATGACATCTTGATATTATATCTTTAGCCTCCAGAACCATGAGAAGATAAATTTCTACTGTTTAAAATCGCCTAGTTTGCAGTAATTTGTTATGGCAAATACCATACAAATTATGTATGAAAACATACACTTATTTTCTACTTCACTTTGATAACTTGATCTATTCATTTTTAATGTATTATACCATATGCACTTTAAAAACATCTTATTTTAAAATAAGTTTAGATGCTACAAAAAGTTACATCATCGATACGGAGTTCCCACATATTCTTCACCCAGCTTTCCTTAATGTTCATTCTTGCATAACAATAGTACAATTATTCAAATCAGGAAATTCTTATTGTTACAGTATTATTAACCAAACTTCTGACTTTATTCAAATTTCACCAGCTGTCCCACTAACACACTTTGTTTGGGGGTCAGGATCCAATCCAGGATTACACATTACATTTAGTTGTCCTCAAATGTCAACTCCTTAATGTCATCAAATCTGGGAAATCTCTTTCTTTGTCTTTCATTACTTTGACATTTGTAAGGAGTTTGGACCAGTTATATTTTTGTTTCTCTAAAGTTACTATACTTTTCCCTTTATAATTGATAAGTATCTGATAGGGAGATACTTCAAGATTCTTCAAATAACTTGTTTCTCATCTTTGCCTATTAATTTTAGCATTCATTAATAATCACTGCCTACAATAAGTATTACTATAGTGTTTGTTAATCGGTGATTTCCTATTTCCATCATCCTTTCTACATTTATTCATTGAAATTCTATTAGAATATAAGGAAGAAATTCCTTATTTCCTATTTATTTCTTTCACTTCCCTATTTATTTACTCAAATATTTATTTATATCAGTATGGACTCATTTATTTGTTTATTCCATGGGTTATAATAGTTTACAATCATTATTTATTTTGTTGCTCAAATTATCCCAAGTTTGGACAGTTGGAGCCTCTTATTCCAATCTAAAACGTAAGACTTCATTCTAGCCTTCTCTCTTTCCTTTCTCCAACAATGAGAAAACTGGCTCTCATTATACACAACATATTTACTTATTTGCTAAAGACTAGTACTATATATACATAAAGTAGTTTCAGAATTGTTAACCAATATCTGTGAAAAACAAATATTCATATATAGTTTTGTAAGCTACCTCAAATCCTATTGGGATGAAGACAGGGAAGGAATCAAAATAGAAGGAAAGAAGGAAGGAAGGAAGGAAGGAAGGAAGGAAGGAAGGAAGGAAGGAAGGAAGGAAGGAAGGAAAGAAAGAAAGGAGGGAAACACTTAAGTGTTTCCATATATAAAATCTAGAAATTTCACTATGGCTTATATCAAAAAATATAGGCTAACATATATTAATACCAATATACCCATATTATATAACTTAATAGCTATTATACCCATACTGTATACTTATAAGAATTTTAGTACCCTTTTCCTTATATAGTTTGGTCAGAATAGGTCTCAAACCAGCAGTGTTGTTCACCCATTCAATAATCCCACATTCATCATTCAGTGGAATAACTGCATATGTTCGAATATGAAGCTCTCTTCTACGAGACTCTGCATCTTTTCTTAAGCACTGTTAAAAAATACACAGAAATTTAAAAACAAGATAGAACTCAAAATTTCTAAACATTATATCAAATATATCTAAAGATTGCTCATTTCATAACAAAAGAATGTCGATGAAGGCTTACTATGTGGTATACATGAATAATTCTTCTGAATGGTAGGGAAGGAAACTACTGGGACAGTATCTCTATTTACAAATTATTAAAAATGTCCTGGGTAGGCCCTTCTTTTTAATTATTCACTATTAATGTGACAAGAATATTGTGTTTAAAATATTTAAGTTGTATATTTAACAATGACAAAATACTGCTGTTTTATTTTCTATTGCTTTAGAGGTATTACTGAAACAGTAAGTCTTTAGGCACAGAGACTGCTATTTAATTTTAATTTTTTTTTTTTTTTTTGAGAGGGAGTCTTGCTCTGTCGCTCAGGGTGGAGGGCAGTGGCGCGATCTCGACTCACTGCAAGCTCCGCCTCCTGGGTTCTCGCCATTCTCCTGCCTCAGCCTCCTGAGTAGCTGGGACTACAGGCGCCTGCCACCACGCCCAGCTAATTTTTTTGTATTTTTAGTAGAGATGGGGTTTCACCATGTTAGCCAGGATGGTCTCGATCTCCTGACCTTGTGATTTGCCCGCCTCAGCCTCCCAAAGTGCTGGGATTACAGGCGTGAGCCACCACGCCCGGACAATTTTAATTATTTCTAAAATACATAAACAACAGAGCATGAGTTCTATGACATCCTCAAAATGTATTGCTTCTCTTGCGGTTTATCACAACCTTATTTCAAAAGCTATCCTTTAGCAGAAGAAAGGCTTACGTATTTCATCTGATTGATCCTGATATATCAGGTAAAAATAAACAGTATTATGTTTAATTCTAGACCTGTATGAAGTAAGCACACATCTATAATTGTAACTTGCTCAATTCAAAAGCACAATCCCTGACCAAAAATACATTTTACACTTTAGGAAATAGGTTCCATAACTACCAAGAAAACAATGTGGCTATAGAATCTCATATAAAGATCAGTGTGTGGCCTCCAAAACTTACATAGTTTTTTACAATCAGGCTCTTTTATCTTACCATGTTCATGAGGGAAAATGTAACAAAATAATTAAAGTAACAAAGCTGATTAATGTAAATTTGTAAACTAAAGCCAGGCCACTTGATACTCAAGTAAATCTGATACTCAGAAAAACACTCAGGGAGCTTTGGAGAGAACATACTAATGGTTCAGTAGTTAGTGAATTAAGATACCATTTTAACAAACAATACTTTTTTGTTGTTGTTGTTGAGATAGAATCTCACTCTGTCACCCAGGCTGGAGTGCAGTGGCACGATCTGGGCTCATTGCAACCTCCGCCTCCCAGGCTCAACCAATTCTCATGCCTCAGCCTCCCAAGTAGCTGGGAATACGTGCGTACACCATCGTGCCTGGCTAATTTTTGTATTTTTAGTAGAAAAAGGTTTTTGCCATGTTGGCCAGGATGGTCTCAAACTGCTGGCCTCAAGTGATCTGCCCTTTTCAGCCTCCCAAAATGCTGGGATTACAGGCATGAGCCACCACACCCAGCCCAAACAATGTGTTAAAATAAAAAATAATCCTCCTTTTCATATTGCTTTGGAAATAGTTTTTAATGTGGTATTAATTTTTAAATTACTTTTGGTTAAACCAAGCAGACGAAAACTGTTCTTTTTTAAAAAACTCATCTAGTGCTACATCTTTTCTGTGCTAAAGATCTATGACTTTAAAATGTGGGAAGGCAATGAGAAGAAAGGAGAAAACGCTTTTAGAAAAATAATGAAGTTTCATCTTTCCACAGTATGGATCAATTTTTACCAATGGAAAAAAACATATGCTATGCATTTACAAATACCTGGTTACAGAATAATTCAAAATACATAAAACTATACATTTATAATAACCCTTTAATAAGATTCCTCATATCATCTTTGAGACAGAAATCAAATACCAATAGAACTGAAAAAATGCTAATGATTACCTTTCATTTATCTATTTATTTATTTTTAAGAGTCAGAGTCTTGGCTCTGTCATCTGGGCTAGAGTGCAGTGGCATGATCATAGCTCACTGCAGCCTCAAACTCCTGGGCTCAAACGATACTCCTGCTTCAGCCTCCTGAGTAGCTGGGACTACAGGCACATGCCTGGCTCATTTTTTTTTATTTTTTGTAGAGACGAGGTTTCACTATATAGGCCAGGCTGGTCTCAAACTCTTGGCCTCAAGTGGTCCTCTTTCCTGGGCCTCCGAAAGTGTTAGGATTACAAGTCTGAGCCACTGCACTCAGCCTATTTATCTTTTGATAAATATATTAACACAACAGGCAAAAGGTAGAAGCATCTAAATGTCCATCATTGGATAAACAGATAAATAAAATGTGGATGGAAAACATTAGACTATTATTCAGCTTTTAGAGGGAGAAAATTCTGACACTTGCTATAAAATGAATGAACTTTGAATAATGCCAAGTGATTTAAGCCAGTCATAAAAGGAGAAATACTGCACTTATATGAGGTACCTCAAATGGTTAAGTTCATGGAGACAAAGTAAATGGTGGCTGCTGAAGGCTGAGGGGAAGGGAAATGGGAAGTTATTGTTTAATAGATACAGAGTTCCAATTTGGGAAGATGAAAAAAGTTTTGGAGAGGGATGGTGGTGATGATTGTACAACAATGTGAATGTACTTAATGCCACTGAATGATATGCTTCAAAAACTGTTAAATGTTAAGTTTTATGCATGTACATTTTATCTCAATAAAAAAATTAAGTGAAAATGAAAAAGATAGTATATTTCATTCCTGCTTTTTAAGAGTGATCCGTTTGCATACTAAAATGCCTATATCAGATTGATAGTAATTATAGCAACTCTGAAATAAAAGCATTCTGGTTTTATAATTGTCAAATTTTTTTAAAATAAAAAATAAATAAATAAAATAAAAGCAAACTATTTCCAAACCTTATTAATCAAGGAATTGAATTCCATTAGTCTACAATCCTTTCTCAGGTCATCTTTTGGCTTACACATCATGATGTAGAACTTTCCATCTGACCCTTTTAAAGAAATCTTCTTTGGTTTCTGAAGAGAAGCAAGAATTTCCACCTAAAAGATGATGAGTTATATATGAATTAGGGCCAAAAATTTCTGTGTAAATGTCTATATATTATAAACCTTGAGTTATGTAAAAAAAAAAAAAAAAAGAATATTACAAGCTACATTATGTAGTGAATTTGTATTTAAAAATTTTTTTATTTTAATTATCTATGACCTATGAAAATAATGACTGTCTATGAACAGAAACATTTTCACCCATTAAAAATAGCTACGACAGGCCGGGCGCAGTGGCTCAAGCCTGTAATCCCAGCACTTTGGGAGGCCGAGACGGGCGGATCACGAGGTCAGGAGATCGAGACCATCCTGGCGAACACGGTGAAACCCCGTCTCTACTAAAAAATACAAAAAAAACTAGCCGGGCGAGGTGGCGGGCGCCTGTAGTCCCAGCTACTCTGGAGGCTGAGGCAGGAGAATGGCGTAAACCCGGGAGGCGGAGCTTGCAGTGAGCTGAGATCCGGCCACTGCACTCCAGCCTGGGCAACAGAGCCAGACTCCATCTCAAAAAAAAAAAAAAAAAAAAAAATAGCTATGACATAAAAAGATTACTTCATCGCCAATACAAGTACTTATATATTCAAATCTAGACAGCCCCCTTCAAAGCAGTCAAAATGTTTAAAAGATTTTTGAAACATCTTTTCAGGATCTTTCTGCAAAGACTGAGACTCTGTTTTTCAATGCTTTATCAATTAAAAGTAATTTGATTTCTGAAAAAACAAACTCCTCCAAAATTAAGTGTACCTAATGAAGTGAGTAAATAAGGTGAATAATACTGCTTAAATTAAAAACAAAGCATAGACTGGGTACAGTGGCTCACGTTTGTTATACTAACATGGAAGGCTCAGCAGGAGGATGGCTTGAGCCTAGGAGTTCGAGACTAGCCTAGGCAACATGACGAAACCTCGTATCTTCAAAAAATTTTAAAAATTAGCTGGGCATGGTGACATGCACCTGTAGTCCCAGCTACTCAAAAGGCTGAGGTGAGCAAATTGCTTGAGCCTGAGAGGCAGAGGTTGCAGTGAGCTGAGATCGCACCACTGTACTCCAGCCTGGGCAACAGAATGAGACCCTGTTTCCAAAAAAAAAAAAAAAAAGAAGCAGAAGAAGAAAAATCAAACTGTGAAAAAGTAAAGATTATAGTCACACTAAAACAATAGGAGCATTTGAAAAATCAAAACATTAAGGTGAATGTGAATCATGAATCAGAATTTTTTTTAATCACTAAATTTTTTTGCCATCAGTAGTTTAGTTTTACTCTTCTGTATTTCCAATTTTTTTTTTCTTCACAAATAAGATTCACGTAGATTCTGTGAAACATACTTTTTATCTTAATTTGAAGTTAACAACTAAATTTTAAAATCATAGTCATATAAAACTGAAGTTTACCATATCATCAAACCCTGCAATATAGGCCCAATGTCCAGGAAATGGCTCATGGCTAGCATGGTTAGCATGGGTACCCAGAATTGATGGAAGTGTAGGTATCATGACTGATTGCAGAGGAATGAGGATTTCACTAAATGTTGCTTCTCCTACCAGTTTTTTAAGCATTTTAAAATGAGTGCTCATGCTTAATGTGGAACTACTTCCATCAACCTGAAAAAATAAATAGTGCATTTTAATTTGTGTTTACATTAAATTCAACTATAACAAAAATTTCACTTTTACAATATTGTAATTACAAAGGCTCAGCAGTCTGTGGTTTCCTAATCAACCCATTTTAGCCTCTGCCATTTACCTCATTAATAATAGTACCTACATCATAGGATTGTTTAATGATTAAAGGAGACAGTAGAGGCCTAAAATCTATTATCAGATATTAGAAAATCCAAAGAGCTCTGTAAATCAAACTCTCACTGAAGAAACAGTTACATGTTTGATTATGGGATACTCCAACAGGTTACCCTCAGTGGAAATATCAAATATTAAATATGCACTATATTACTTTAAAAATCTTAAAAATCCTGAATTTCTAGGTGTAGCTTGCCACAAAGGTTTCAGATAAAGAACTGGAAATCTGTACATGTAAAGCACTTACAACAGTGTTAGTGTTTTAATAAATGTTGGCCACCATAACACTGTTTTTGATAATGTCAAGTGCATCAGAGGTCAAATGGGATTAATGGAGATAATAAATGCAGATTACACATTTGAGATGTTTATTGATAAAGGAAAGGTGAGAAATAGTCTGTATCTTTTCATCTATAAACAATGATGGACTCTGAATATTTGTCAGGTGAAGTCTAGCTATGTACCTTATTAAAGAGCTTCTCTCTCCCTCCTTATAACCACCTCCACCTCCCACTTTTATCTTTACTATACATCCTTGGGGGTTTTTTCTCTAATACTTTAGGTAGAATTATGGGGTTACTCCTGTAACCATATTCCTACTTTAGTCACAAATCTACTGAAAAAGTACTTATTACTCTAGATAACCATCTGCTTAGTTCCCTATAAGACTATAAGCACCTCAGGCAGAGAACAGATTTTATTCATCTTGTTTCCCTTAGCATAGTGCTTGTCCCCTCACAGGCACTGAAATGTATACTAAAAGAATGAAAAGCAAAACCCCAACCGTCTTCCCTATCATAAGTGTAGTTTAATAATGTATATGAATTTTGAAAGTTTAAAGATATATAATCATAGAGACTACTATAAGTAACTTTGAATATTTTACATACTTATATTTTTATGGCTTATTTCATATTCTCTACTAAAAATTTCTGAGAAACATGGATATCTACCCTCAGAAAATTCTTAATTTACATTAAGAAGAACTTTTATAAATATTAGAAGGTATTTTGAAGTAAGATATATTAGAAATATTAAAAACTGCTTTATTAAGATAAATCATACATAATTAAAATACATAATATATTTTGATATATGTGTACACCTATATGTTAGAATTTTAATTTAATTAATCAAATGAAAAAATCAGCTCAAATTATATAAATATATATATAATTACCCAACATCAGTTTATAAGCACTAAGATTATGATAGTACCGGTTTATTGCACAATTCTAGAAGCTTATCTGTTAGGCGAGTTGCATCTCCAACAAACTTCTCTAAGGATTTTTTCATATGAATGGCTTTATTTAGGATTTCCTTGCATCTGTTCACACGCATGGGATAAGAAGACTGTCATAAAAAAGAGTTAAATACTATTTTATATAAGATTTTTGAAAGATAAATTTTTTGAATGACAAAAAACTTAAAAAGTATTCATGATGAGAGTTTATATGATACAAATTTCCTGAAAATTTATTTGGTAATGCTATCAAGAGCCATACAAATATTGCCACCCTATAACTTTGTGAATTATAAAGTTATAAGGATCTGCCCTGAAGAAATAATTAGAAATGAGAATAAACATAGACATAGCTAGATGTGTTACAACAGCAAGAAAAACAGAAATAACCTTAATGATTAACTAAGCAGTTAAATAAGTTATTGAAGGCTATTTTTTAGAATTTTATATATTAAAATTATATCTTTAAATTATATGTAATAACATGGAAACAATAAAGTGAAAAATGTGAAATTGTATGGCAACATAATTAAATTTAGTGTTAAAATACACTAGAAAATATACAAATAAAATTACATCAAAACATTAATGAATGGCCCAAGGTATGAATTTTAATTTTTGTTTTATGTCTCTGTATTACCTAAATTCTCTAAACATTTACTTATTACATATATTGACCAACATATGAATTCCCTTCAATGATGCAATAACGGTTTTTTAGTATTAAAAATTCAGGTGCTGGCGGGGCATGATAGCTCATGCCTGTAATTCCAGCACTTTGGGAGGCCAAAGCAGAAGGATCACTTGAGCCCAAGAGTTTAAGCCCAGCCTGAGCAACAAAGCAAGATCCCATCTCTACAAAAAGAATTTAAAAATTAGCTGTACATGGTGACACATCCCTATCGTCCTAGCTACTGGGAAGCTGAGGCAAGTGAGTCACTTGAACCCAGGACTTTCAGGCTGCACTGAGCTATGATCCCACCATTGCTCTCCAGCCTGGGCAACAGAGAAAGATCCTGTTTCTTAAGGAAAATAAAAATAAAAATTCAGGTACTTTGGATTAAAATATTTGTGAAAACATAGGTAACCATTCTGCATCAAGCATTAACCGTTTACTAGACTTCATAAAGAAAACACATGCTGAATTATTTGATCTTAAACATGCTAGTTACTTCATTTCATATGGCAAATATATCCAAATATTAAGATATAATGCTATAATTTCTCTCTTTAAAACAATTTAAAATTACTAATCTAATATAGGAGAGAAGCCCTGGAACTTGTATCTACATATTAGTATCGCATAATCAATTTCAAATAAAATGGTAAAAGACCCTTTTCATAAAAAAAGGTAAAAGACCCTTTTACCTTTGACACAGCTGTCATCATCCACATTGCTTGTTGAGGATAGGCTAGAAATACTTTGGCTATTATTTCCATCAAGACAACAAAAACTTCATCATGAGAATGACAAATTCGAGAGATCAATTGTGAAAAAGCAGTCAAAAATTGATATGGAGCTAAACAGTTTGTATGCTCTGTGATAACCTTGTTTATTTTACCCAAATCATTCCTCATCTGTACACGATCGGAACGGCCAGCTGGGGGAAAAAATAAGTTTAAAAAACAGTAAAGGAAAGAGAAAAATCAGTGTATCAGTTCATTTCACAGAACAAAAATTTTGTTTTAAAAATAGCTTTAAAGTATGTTATTCCCATGCCCAAGGCTAGATCACTTGCCAATCTGTGAAGAGACAGTTGTCTCTGTCCAACTAGAAAAAAATATTTAGACCCATTCAAAAACCCAAGGGACATTAATTTTCACTATCCATTTTAATTTGTAGGGTAAATTATTTGGCTAAAACTAACACATTTTAATATGTGTTAGGTTCATCAAGAAACAATCAGATTTTTATTTTTGGCCCTGAATTAAAACTACTTTAAATGTCTATGATTTGTCTTTCCTTTTTAACATTTAGTATCTTACTCACACTTACATAACATCTTAATTATCAAAGTCATTCCAAGCTTTTAGGAAATTAGACTGCCCAGCCAAATCTGACTTTATACCAAAGTTATAATTCCTAGTCTTAAAATTTTTACGTGAAGAGTTATACCTTTTTCCCATTCATATGCCTTTGTACCATAATCAAGCCATAGAGTTAACATTCGTGGCATTGACTGATATATGAACTGATTTCCATATTGTAGAGATCTGCAATTATATAGACAAGAAACACTATTAGCATAGCTGTCTTTTTTATATGAATTAAACTACCACATACCCTTTTCACAAAAATATAGTATCAATATTTCTTCCTAGAAGTTATTTTTGACTCCTCTGTCTCCTTTTTAGCTCACTTAGCTCTATATTGCCTGTACCAAAAACATGTACATACTGTATGTTTCCACTTATACAGAATTTGTACATTATACAAATTCTACTCTAATCAAAGTCTATCAATACTTCTTTCAATTTTTCCTTAGGATCTCTGTGTCTTCATTTGCATTCTTTGGCCATAAGCCTAGGTCAGGTCCAATCACTCCATTTCTGGGAAGTTACAATAATTTGGTCACCCTAACTAAATACGTATGTCTGCCCTTCAATAAATTCCAGACTAACATTCCTGAAATTCTGGTTTTATCATGCTCTCCCCTTACTCAAAAACAGGAATCAATACCTACATATTAAAACTATATAAATGATTCTGCCTGGGATTCAAATACTCAGAATCTTTTATCTCCATAATTTTCCAATCTTAGCATCTTGCCACTCACCAGTATGCATCTTCCATCAAATCTGGTTTCCGCATCATCCTACAAACCAACCACTCAACCCTGGTTCTCGTGAAATTTGTGAAAAGTTAAAGTTCTCTCCTTCTTGAATTATTTGGAGGCCTGGATATCAGTTTATTTTCAAAATAAATTTTATTGTGGTTAAATATACATAACATAAAATTTACCATCATAACCATTTTTAAGTGTACAGTTCAGTGGTATATTAATATGGTTGTACATTCACATTGTTGTGCAATCATCACCACCATTCCCCCTCCAGAACTTTTTTCATCTTCCCAAATTGGAACCCCATACCTACTAAACAGTAACTTCCCATCTCCTTCCCTACCCAGTCTCTGGCAACCACCATTGTGCTTTCTGTCTTCATGAATTTGACCATTTGATGTACCTCATATAAGTGGAAACATACAGTATTTGTCCTTTTCATGACTGGCTTATTTCACTTAGCATAACGTCCTCAAGGTTCATCCATGTTGTAGCATATATCAGAATTTCTTTCCTTTTTAAAGCAGAATAATATTCCATTGTGTCTACACCACATTTTGATCAATTAATCTCCCAATGAATTCTTGCACTGCTTTCATGTTTTAGCTATTGTGAATAATGTTGCTATGAAGATGAATGTACAGATATCTTTTTGAGACACGTAGAGACAGTTTAATGATACAGAATTGCACTTGCCATTCTACAACTATAGAAGAAGTGGGGACTTTCTTTTCCTCTTCTTATTTTGTCAAGATTAATTTAATCAGAAATTAGGAGAGCTAGCAGGTTTTTTGTTTTTTTTTTTTTGAGACACAGTCTCGCTCTGTTGCCCAGACTGGAGTGTAGAGGCACGATCTTGGCTCATTGCAACCTCTGCCTCCCGGGTTCAGGCCATTCTCCTGCCTCAGCCTCCCAAGTAGCTGGGACTACAAGCACCCGCCACCACGCCCGGCTAATTTTTGTATTTTTAGTAGAGACGGGGTTTCACCATATTGGCCAGGCTGGTCTTGAACTCCTGATCTTGTGATCCGCCTGCCTCGGCCTCCCAAAGTGCTGGGATTACAGGCGTGAGCCACCACTGCGCCCGGCCGCAGGGTTTTTTTAAAGGTATACAACATGATGTTTTTGTTTTAAAACATTTATTTATTTATTTAAATTGACAAATAAAAATTGTGTATATTTATTGTGCACATGTTTTGAAGTATACATTGTGGAAGAGCTAAACCAAGCTAATTCGCACATGCTAATTATTTCACATACTTATTTTCTTGTGGAATAAAATCTATTCTCTCAGCAATTTTCAGTATAAAACATTTGTTAACTATAGTGACCATGTTGTAGAGCAGATCTCTTTAACTTATTCCTTCTATTTAACTGAAGTTTTATGTCCTTTGACCAACATCTCCCCAACTCCTCACTACCCCAACCCCTGGTAATCACCATTCTACTCTCTAGTTCTGTGAGTTCAACATTTTTAGATTCTCCATATAAGTAAGATAATTCAGTATTAATCTTTCTGTGCTGGGCTTATTTCATTTAGAATAATCTCCAGGTTCATCCATGTTTTCACAAATAACAGGATTCCTTCTTTTTTTAAGGCTGAATAGTATTCCTGTGTGTGTGTGTGTGTGTGTGTGTGTGTAAGTATACATATACATGCCACATTTTCTTTATTCATTCCCATGTTGATGGACACTTAGTTTGATTCCACAGCTTGGCTGTTGTGAAGATGCTGCAATGAACATGGGAGTGCAGATATCTCTTCAACATATAGATTTAACTTCCTTTAGATATATACCCCATAGTGGGATTGCTAGAGCATATGATATTTCTATTTTTAATTTTTAAGGAATATCCATATTGTTTTCCATAATGGGTCTACTAATTTACCTTCCCACCAACGGTGTATAAGGGTTCCCTTTCCCCATATCCTCTCCAATGCTTGTTATCTTTTGTCTTTTATATGATAGCCATTCAAACAAGTGTGAGGTAATATCTCATTGTGGTTTTAATTTGAATTTATCTGACGATTAATGATATTGAACTTTTTTTATATACCTCTGTTGGTCACTTTTATGTCTTCTTTTAAACAATGTCTGCTCAGACTCTTTGCCCATTTTTTTAATCGGGTAATTTGTTTTCGTTCTTCTATTTTTATTTTTATTTTTTGAGACAGGATCTGGCTCTGTTGCCTGGGCTGGAGTGCAGTGGTATGATCCTGGCTCACTGCAACTTCCACCTCCTAGGCGCAAGCGATCCCCGTTTCAGCCTTCTGAGCAGCTGTGACTGCAGGTGCATGCCACCAAACCCGAATAATTTTTGTATTCTTTTGTAGAGATGGGGGTTTCACCATGTTGCCCAGGCTGGTCTTGAACTCCTGAGCTCAAGTGATCCATCTGCCTCGGCCTCCAAAAGTGCCGGGATTACATGCATGAGCCACCGTGCCTGGCCAGGTGATTTGTTTTCTTACTATTAAGTTGTTTGAGTTCCTTACCTATTTTGGCTATTAACCCCCTATCAGATGTGTGGTTTGCAAATACATTCTGCCATTCTATAGTTGTCTTTTCACTCTGTTGATTGTTTCCTTGACTATGCAGAAGTCTTTTGGTTTGTATAATACCATTTGTCTATATTTGCTTTGTTGGCTGTGCTTTTTGGCTCATACCCAAAAAAATTATTGCCCAAACCAATGCCATGAACCTTTTCCTCTATGTTTTCTTCTAGTAGTTTTACAGCTTCAGGTCTTACATTTAAGTTTTAAAGCCATTTTGAGTTGATTTTTGTATATGGTGTAAGGTAAGAGTGTAATTCCATTCTGTTGCATGTGGACATCCAGTTGTCCCAACACCATTTATTGAAGAGACTATCCTTTCCCCATTGTGGGTTCTTGGCACCTTTGTTAAAGATCAATTGACTGTAAATGCATGGATTCATTTCTGGGCTCTCTATTCTGTTCCATTGGTCTATGTAGACATTTTAATACTAATATTATACTCTTTTGATTATTACAGCTTTGTGGTATATTTTGAAGTCAGGTAGTGTAATGCCTTCAGCTTTGCAGCTTTTTTTTTTTTTTTTTTTTTTTTTTAAGAGATGTAGTCTCACTCTGTCCCCCAGGCTGGAGTGCAATGGCACAATCTCAGCTCACTGTAACCTCCGCCTCCCGGGTTCTAAAGAAATTCTTCTGCCTTAGCCTCCTGAGTAGCTAGGATTACAGGTGCACGTCACCATGCCCAGCTAATTTTCTGTATTTTACTAGAGACAGGGTTTCACCGTGTTGCCCAGGCTGGTCTTGAACTCCTGAGCTCAGGCAATCTACCCACCTCAGCCTCCCAAAGTGCTATGATTACAGGTGTGAGCCACCACGCTCGGCCAGCTTTGTTCTTTTTGCTGAAGATTTCTTTGGTTATCTGAGGTCTTTTCTAGGTCCATACAAATTTTAGGATTTTTTTTCTACTTCTGTGAAAAAAGTTATTGGATTTTTTTTTTTTTTTTTTTTTTTTGAGACTCCCAGGCTGGAGTGCAGAGGCACGATCTCGGTTCACTGTGACCTCCGCCTCCTGGGTTCAAGCAATTCTACTGCCTCAGCCTCCCTAGTAGCTGGGATTACAGATGCACACCACCATATCTGGCTAATTTTTGTATTTTTAGTAGAGACCAGGTTTCACCATGTTGGCCAGGCTGGTCTCAAACTCCTGACCTCAAGTGATCCACCTGCTTCAGCTTCCCAAAGTGCTGGGATTACAGGTGCAAGCCATGGTGCCCAGCCAGAATTTTTAAACAAAAAAAAAAAAAAAGGAAAGAAAGAAAAAGCTATTGGAATTTTGATAGAAACTACATTGAATCTGTAGATCACTTTGGGCAGTATGAACATTTTAATATTCATTCTTCCAATCCATAAACACAGGATATCTTTCCATTTGTTTATGTCTTCTTCTTCAATTTCTTTTCATCAGTGTTTTATAGTTTTCATTGTAGAGGTCTTTTGCCTCCTTATATTTATTCCTAAGTATTTTATTTTTTGTAGTTACTGTAAATGAGATTGTTAGTCTGTTGTCAGTGTATAGAAATGCTACTTACTTTTGTATGTTGTCTTTATATCCTGCAACTTTATTGAATTCACTTATTCTAATAGTTTTTTATTGGAGTCTTAGGGTTTCAGTATATAAGGTCATGTTGTCTGCAAACAGAAAAAAGTTGATGACTTCTTTTCCAATTTGGATGCCTTTTATTTCTCTCTCTTGTCTAATTGCTATGGCTAGGATTCCTGGTACTACACTGAATATAAGTGGCAAGGGTGGGCATCTTTGTCTTAACCTTAGAGGAAAAGCTTTGAACTTTTCACCACTGAGTATGATGTTATCTTTGGGGTTACCATACATGGTCTTTACTGTGTTGAGGTACATTCCTCCTATACATAATTTTTTGAAATTTTTTAGTCATAAAAGCATGTTGAATTTTGGCAAGTGCTTTCTCTGCATCTATTGAGATGACATGATCATATGGTTTTTGCCCTTCATTCTATTAACGTTGTATATCAAATATATATATTTGGATAGGTTGAACCATCCTTGCATCCTGGAATAAATTCCACTTGATCATGGTGAATGATCCTTTTAATGTGCTGTTGAATTTGGATTACTAGTATACCTTCTTCATGAGGCCTACCAGACTTTTGCAGCAATTCAGTGCAAAGAAATACACTTTTGAAATCATAAAGCCAGTGGCTTGTGGCTTGACTTTTGACCTCCATGACTTCTGGACTTCTTTGGTTCACTTTTGGTATCTGGCTAACATAGCCTTTCACATAGCTGAGACCAATTTATTTCACATAATAAATTAGCCTATGCCTGGCTAATTTATTTATTTTTTGTAGAGATGAGGTCTTGCCATGTTCTCCAGGCTTTTCTTGAACTCCTGGGCTCAAGCAATCCTTCCATTTCAGAAGAATCCCAAAATTCTGGGATTACAGGCATTAATCAACGTGCCCAGCCATATCTGATATTTACTACATTTATTTTGATTTTTTTTTTTTTTTTTTTTGGAGACAGAGTCTTTCTCTGTCACCCAGGCTGGAGTGCAGCAGCATGATCATAGCTCACTGCAATCTCTACCTCCTGGGCTCAAGCAACCCCCTTGGCTCAGCTTCCCTTGTAGCTGGGACCACAGGCGTGCACCACCTTGCCTGGCTAATTTTTGTATTTTTTTGGTAAAGATGGGGTCTTACCAGGTTGCTCTGGCTGGTTTTGAACTCCTGCGCTCAAGCAATCTGCCTGCCTCAGCCTCCCAAATTTCTGAGATTACAGACATGAGCCACTGAGCCCAGCCTATTTTGAGATCTAATCTCACATTCTATTATGTACCATTATTTAAATGTTTTATGTACTTAAGGTTTCTATCCCTAATTGGATTGTAGATTCTTAAGGGCAAACATTAATATTTTAATAAGTAATAACACAATTATTCAGTCAGGGGATAAATATGTCTCAATAGCTAAGTTTACTCCCTTAAGCATACAAATATTTTATTTTAACTACTATGGATAGAAACAGGTTTTGAAATGTACTTACATTCCTGAAGGGTACTTTAAAAATACTCATTATACATAACAGTTTCATGCATATAGAGGACTTTATATAACTACTTGTTTTAAAAGAAATGTGTTAAGTAAATTCTATATCCCAAGGCACATGATATATACTAAGACTAACAGCAAACAAAAGAAGCTATCACTCATTGTTCAAAAGAACTGGGCCAAGAGTGATGGCTCACATCTGTAATCTCAGTGCTTTGGGAGGCTGAGGTGGGGAAGATTGCTTGAGGCCAGGAGCTCAAGATCAGCCTGGGCAACACAGTGAGACCCTGTCTCTACAAAAAATTATTTAAAAACATAGTTGGGCATGGTGGCATGTGCCTATCGTCCTAACAACTCAGGAGACTGAGGTAGGAGGATCACTTGAGCCCAGAGTTCAAGGTCATAGTTACCTTTGTGTGACTGCACTCCTGCCTCAGTGACAGAGTGATACTCTGTCAATTAAAAAAATGACAGGGTACCTTTAGTCATTTTGCTACCCTAATACCATCAATGATGAACTAATATTGCTTTTCTTTTTTCCATTTTTTTTCCCTGTGACACAGCCCTCAGGAGATCCCGAGAACATATGCCCTTTTCTTTCTTCTTTTTTTTCTTTTTTCTTTTTTTTGAGATAGGGTCTTGCTGTGTTATCCAGGCTGCTGTGCAGTGGTGCAGTCACAGCTCACTATAGCCTTGACCTCCCAGGTTCAGGTAATCCTCCCACCTCAACCTCCAAAGTAGCTAGGACTACAGGCACACACCACCACCCCTGGCTACAGATACTGCTTTAATTCCTGAAAATATTTAACTGAGAAGTCATAGTACCTCATAATAGGCAATTTTAACAGATTTATTGATCTGAAGATATCCTTCCATGTAAAGCAATAGTATATGAGTATGATAAGGAGAATGTATGGAATGATATTATTTCTTAGTAATTAATAATTTATAAAAATATAAACAGTAGGCCTGAGATTATACTACTTGACTATAATACACTGATATATGAAATTAAAAGTTATATTTCACCTATTAACTAGTTTAAGAATAAGTACTTTCTACAAGTCTAATGTCAAAGTCATTTTCATATATATATTATACTACTTCTTATTGGAATGGGCTAGAAGGAAGTATTCCACTGCAATTAAAAATAACCAAGAAGGCTGAGTGGCGTGGCTCACACCCATAATCCCAGCACTTTGGGAGGCTGTGGCGGGCAGATCATGAAGTCAGGAGTTTGAGATCAGCCTGACCAATGTGTGAAACTCTGTCTCTACTAAAAATACAAAAATTAACCGGGTGTGGTAGCACGCGCCTGTAATCCCAGCTACTGAGGTGGGTGAGCCAGAATCGCTTGAACCTGGGAAGCAGAGGTTGCAGTGAGCTGAGATCGTGCCACTGCACTCCAGCCTTGGTGACAGAGCAAGACTCTGTCATAAAATAATAAAAATAAAATAAAATAAAATAGAATAAAGTAAAATAAAATAAAATATAAAATAAAATACTAATACTACTACTACTAATATATATAACCACAAAATATGACATTTAGGGTCTTCTGGAATTCTGGGGACTCAGGGAATGAGGGTCTGGAATGGGAAGGATACTTAATTTGGTGCTGTTGAATTTTTAAAAAATCCATGCTGTAGTATTATAATATGTATATTGGTTTTATTCACAGTTACTGGCTCCTAATTCCTTGTTATGTCAGGGCACTTTAGACCTCAGGAAACAGAATCTCTCTCTATGAGCTTCTCCTGTCCTTCACTCACCTGCCCAAGGCAGGATTCTAATCTGACTGTGGGTCAAAAGATTCTCATCCCAGAGAGGATCCTGCCCCACACCCTAGAGGAAGGAATGCTACATAGAAAAGGCCAAGAAAAGTCTGAACAGACAGACCTTGCTGGGTTTACATTATGAGCTGTTTGTCCACTCACATTTCTACATGGTTGCCAATCATGCCTATGTAATAAAGATTCCACTAAAAACCCCACAGGACAGAGTTTGGAGAGCTTCCAGAGAGTTGAACACATGGAGGCTAACAGGAGGGTGACGAAGACCTCTTCCATGCGCCAGGAGGATGGCACACCCCATCTCCATGGAGACAGAAGCTCCTGTGCCGGACCCCTCCAGACGTTACCTTATCTATCTCTTCATCGGGCTGTTTATTTGCATCCTTAAAATATCTTTCTTAATAAACCAGTAAACAGGTTTCCCTGAGTTCTGTGAGCCACTTTAGCAAATTTATTGAACCCAAGAGGAAGTTGTGAGAACCCCAACTTGAAGCCAGTTGGTCAGAAGTTCCAGAGGCCCAGACTTGCAACTAGGGGAAGGAGGAGATGGTCTTGTGTCACCAAGCCCTCAACCTTTGAGGTATGACACTGTCTCCAGACAGAGAGTGTCAGCACAGAAATGGAGGACATCAAGCTGGTGTCCACCGCTTGGTGTATGGGGAAAAAACCCCACATATCTGGTCACATAAGTCTTCTACTGTGTTGATGATTGCTGTGTCAGTGTGAGAGCAGAGGAATAACATGGTTAGAGAGAGTTTCCAAAACACATGCCTATATCACTTTTTTCATTTAAAAAGTTAGTTTTTAAAGTGAAGAAAAAACTTGCATAAAGGAAAAATTTACATCTTATCTAAGGTGATACACTGAATCAGTCATAAGCCAGAAAATACCTAGAATATGCTAAGACATGTGATAATAGTTTCAATATTAATAGTCATCCTTTCATATTTAATCTGCAAACATGCAGTTCTCATACTCACCTGCCAAAATGAAGAACTATATACCGGATGAGATCACCTTGCTTTTCCATTTTGTTGTCTGTGACCATGGGCATCAATTTGTCATAGTACTTGGCAAGGTAAAAATGCCCATCCTCCCATTCTGGCAGGCACGCGGTCACATCCTGTAAAAAAGAACATAGGATACTCACCTAAGGAAATCCCATGCTATGCTGGGAAGTAAAACATGAATAGATGAATACGGATCAAAGTATGTGACCTTTATCTAGGCAGAGCAAAGTCAAAAGCAGACTCAATCTTTGATGTGGATAAGGAATAGCTACCTTCTTATAAAGGTTTTCTCAGGAGGGCTGATTGGTTCTGATGTGTTGTCCACTGTCCAACATGAAATAGTGTTGGAAAAATTCGCAACTTAGGAGAAGAAAACTCCATTTATGTTACCACTTTAAAAGATACAGAAAAGTAGTGTCTGGATGGGTTAAAGTTTTTTTATATATAAATATGTGTGTGTGTATATATACACATGTATCATGAAAGGCATTTTTAAAAATCCTCAAAGCAGAAGTAATATCAAGTCTCTAAAGAGGGTAGGACTTTAAAAAGCATAAAAATTATGGTAAAATTAAAATCACATATCTTATTTTTCTCCAAGATCTCTCACAAGTTATTGCCCTTTCTCTCAACGCCTTCAGAAGCAGGCTTCTAAAAAGAATTCTCTACCTCACATTGATTCCTAAAACTATGTCTTTTCAGCTTCACTCCATTAAGGAGCTCCTCAAATCCAAGAGATATTTTACAATTCTGATCTCATTTGAACTCTCTTCAATATGTTTCTGGTGTCCAAGTCACGTATTTCAAATGCTTTCATCCCTTGACTTCTGTGAGGCCACCATCTTCCAAGTTTTCTCCTCTCTTTCTGGTCACTCTCACTTAGTCTCCTTTGTCATTTCTTCTTGCTGTTCCTGCCTTAAATATTTGTGTGGTTTATTAATTTTTAATATGACATTAAATGTGATGGGAAATACACAGGATCACCAACAGTTTTTTTTTTTTTTTAATTGAAGCTCCACTTTTCATCTAAAGAAGTTTGAGAACATAGTTTAGACCAGAAATCTTAAGTGAGATCTTGAGTTTCTACTGACTTTAATCTTGAGACTCTACAGACACAAACCTGCCTGGGAATAGAGGACAGAATGACATGATTAGATGTGTGGTATATGCTAGATTCATGTACCTAACCAGCCACACAGGGTAAGGGCTGCCAGAAAAACATATTAGTCAACCTAGTCTTTCCTTCCTTTCTTCCTTCCTATCCGTCTTCCTGCTTTCCTTTCTTCCTTCCTATCTGTCTTCCTGCTTTCCTTTCTTCCTCCTTCCCTAACTTCCTTCCTCCTCCCTCTCTCGTTTCAGCTTAGATTTTAAATATTTATTTTGAAAAGTAAAATTCATATAGTGAAAAATATACAAATCTCAAATTTACAGCTTGATCAATTATCACAAAGTAATTACCTTTATATAAAAGCTCCTTCCTCCCTCCCTCCCCTCTCTCTCTCCCTTTTTAGTTAAGATTTTTAAGTTTTATTTTGAAAAATAAAGTTTATATACAGAAACATACACGAATCTTATGTATACAACTTGATCAATTATCACAAATTGATCAGCCTCATACAAGAACTCCAGGAGTTTTGTTTTACCTGTTTTTGAACTTTTATATAAATAGAATCATACTATAATAATTATTATTGGTTGGGCATGGTGGCTTATGGTTGTAATCCCAGCACTTTGGGAGGCCGAGGTGGGCGGATCACGAGGTCAGGAGATAGAGACCATCCTGGCTAACACAGTGAAACTCCGTCTCTACTAAAAATACAAAAAAAAAAAATGGGCGTGGTGGTGGGCGCCTGTAGTCCCAGCTACTTGGGAGGTGGAGGCAGGAGAATGGCATGAACCTGGGAGGTGGAGCTTGCAGTGTGCCGAGATCGTGCCATTGCACCCCAGCCTGAGTGACAGAGTGAGAACTCTGTCTCCAAAAATGTATATATTATTATTAGAGACAGGGTTTTGCTCTGTTGTCCTGGCTGGAGTGCAGTGGCATGCTCATGACTCCCTGCAGCCACGACTCCTAGTCTCAAGGCGATCCTCCCTCCTCAGCCTACGGAGCAGCTGGGACTACAGGCATACACCACCACACCCAGCTAATTTTTGTATTTTTTTGTAGAGATGGAGTTTTGCTATGTTTCCTAGGCTGGTCTTGAACTCAGCTCAAGCAATCTGCCTGCCTCGGCCTCCCAAAGTGCTGGGATTATAGGCATGAGCCACCACGCCCGGCCCTACATGCATTATTTTTTATCTGGCTTATTTCACTCAACATTACATCTGTGATATCAATCCAAGTTATTGCGTATAAATTTGGTTTACTATATAGTATTCCATTATAAGAATATGCTACAACCATATTTATCCATTCTATAATTGATTGCCATTTGGATTACTTCCAAAATAAAATCGACAAATAATAATGTCATAAACATTCTTGTATATATCCTATGGGGACATGCTGGGTCATATTCCAGATATGAACCTCTAATGTATTGCAAATATCTTCTAATCTGCAGCTTGCCTCTAACTCACAATGGTATCTTCTGATAAAGAGAAGTTATTGTTTATATTATAGTGTTTTTGTTATGTTTAAGAAGTCCTGACCTAGATTAGCAATCTACCTCGTTTACTTTTGTTTATAGTGGGAAGAAGGGATCAAGTTTGATTTTTTGTTTTCCTGTAAGATACCCAAGTGATACAACAACATTTATTGAAAAGACTATTTTGGTTATTCACAGTTTGCCCCTCCAGATAGATACACTTGCCAACTTTAGCCTTTTCCACTCTGCTCAGTGCCCCAGGAAATTGAAATTGATGATTTATATTAATGGGCCTGTTTGCCCTCTGGCTTCCTGCGAACTTCAATCAATGGAAGGTAGTAACAGATTAGAGGGTGAGGAGGAGAGTGAGGTTAAGTTCTTTATACCTGCTGGTTTCCTTCCTGCTGGGCTGCAGTTGACAGTGGTTGTGTTTCTTTCCCTAAGGTTAAGTTCTGGTCCGATGGTCCTTTCCTACAAATTTAGCTCCCTTTACAGGTTCCAGTAAATGCTCTATCCTTTTACTCCTTCAGGTCTAGAGTTAGCAACAACTCTCTGTTGTTGCTAGCCATGGGGTACTTTCACCATCCTTTGTTAATTTCCCCTAATTTAGTTTTTCATTAAACTCTCTCCAATTACTTCTTTTGATTGGGCCAACTATTTTCTCCCTGCACCTGACCTCACACAATATAGTAAAGAGCATCTCAGATAGATTGGAGGTTACTAGGAGATATGACAACTAATGCTATATGGAATCCTCAATTCTAGACAGAAAAAGGACACTATTGGGAAAACTGGTGAAATGTGGTCTACAGATAGTTAACAGTACTGTTTATCAATGTTAATTTCCCACTTCTGATACTATAGTAGTGTAAAATATTAAAATTAGGGGAAACATGCTAAAGGGTAGATATGGAAATTCTCTATACTACTACCAACTTTTTAAAAGTCAAAGATTATTTCAAAATAAAACTGAAAAAATTAAAGGTGACAGAAAAGCTTCTTGGTTATTCTTGGACTTTATGTTTCCACAGAAATTTTAAATTCTAATTTTCAATTACCTGTTAGCATTTGATGAGAACTGCATTAAACCTCTAGGTGAATTTGTAGAGAAATAATTATATTATTGAGTCTTCCCATTCATACATGTATTCTAGCTACCAATTTATTTAGGTCTTTTTTACTTCACTCAATTTTAATGTTTTAATTTTTATTTTGTGGAGAGGTCTTGTGTGCAATTTAATCTTAGGCATTTCATTATTTTTATTGCTATCCTAAATGATATCTTTAAAAATTTTAGGCTGGGCATGCATGGTGGCTCACAACTATAATCTCAGCATTTTGGGAGGCAGAGACGGGAGGATCAGTTGAGGCAGGAAGTTTGAGACCAGCCTTGGCAGAACAGCAAGATTCTGTCCCCACAAAATAAAAAATTAGCTTGGTGTGGTGGCATATGCCTGTGATCCCAGCTACTTGAGAGGCTGAGGTGAAAGGATCACTTGAGCCCAGGAGGTTGAGGCTGCAGTGAGGCATAACCATGCCACTATACTCCAGCCTGGGTTGACAGACCAAGACCCTGTCTCAAAAATAAAATAAAATTTTAAATCAACTTTCTTAAGACAGAACTTTCATACAATAAAATTTACACATTAAGTACAAATTGGTAACTTTTGACATATATACACCCATGGAACCATCATTCCAGTCAAGAAAATGAACATTCCTAACTCTCTCGAAAGTTCTTACGGGCGCCCACCCTTGCCATCACTCTCCTGCCAACTACCCAGGCAACTACTGATATTTCTATTCATATACATTAGTTGTACCTGTTTTAAAATGTCACATAAATGAAATCATATAAGCACATAGTCTGTTATGTCCCTCTTCTTTCATTCAGCATATCTATGACATTAATCCACCTTGTTGCGTGTACCAGTAGTTCATTTCTTCTTGTTGTAGGGTAGTATTCCATTATATAACTGTGCCACAGTTTGTTTACCCATCTTCTCTGGATGGCCAGCTGGTCTATCTCCAGTTTTTGTGACTAAAGCTACTATAAACATTTGTGTAGAAGTCTTTTTATTGACATATGTAATTGTTTCTGTTGGATAAACATCTAAGAATGGAATGGAATATGGTAGATTTAACTTTTTATAGTCCCACCAGGTGCATTTATTGCATTAACAGGTATTGCTAGTCTTTTAGACTTCAGCCATTTCAGTGTATAATGTGTTATTTCATTGTGGTTTTAATTTGCATCTTCCTAATGACTAATGATGCTAAGCGTCTTTTCATTTGCTTTTTGGCCATTTGCATATATTCTTATGAAGTGTCTTTCCAATACTTTTGCAGATCTTTATTTCTTTTTTTAATAGACAAAGTTTCACTCTAACTCAGGCTGGAATGCAGTGGTGCCATCATAGCTAACTGTAACCTCAAACACCTAGGCTCAAGTGATCCTCCTGCTTTAGCCTCCTGAATAGCTAAGACTATAGGCATTCGTCACTATATCCGGCTAATTTTTATTTTTGTAGAGACAGGTTCTCACTATATTGCCCAGGCTGGTCTTGAACTCCTAGCTTCAAACAATCCTCAGGCCTTGGCCTCCCAAAGCACCGGGATTACAGGCCTGAGCCACTGTGCCTGGCCTCACAGATTTTTAAATTGTCTTGCTAAGTTGTAGGGTTCTCTATAATTTAGCTACAAATCCTCTGTCATATAGGTATTGCAAGTATTTTCTCCAAGTCTATGGCTTACACCTTTTCATTTTCTTAACTGTCTTTCTTAGAAAAGGTTTTAACTTTGATGAAAATCTAATTTATCAGGATTTTTTTAATGCTTAATGCTTTGTGTGATCTAAGAAAACCTTTGCCTACCCCAAGGTTGTAAAGATTTTCTTCTATTTTTTCATCTAGAAGTTTATAATTTTAGCTTTTCAGTTTAGATCTATAATCCACTCTTTTTGAAGCAATTTTGTCTATGGTATGAGGTAGAGGTTGAAGAACATTTTTTTCTTCATACAGATATCCAACTGTTCAAGCACTTTTTGCTTGTAAATGGTATATTTTAAAATCTTTATTGGTTGTCATACAGAAGTAAAATCATCAGGCAATCTTGTTTAACTCACTCAATATTTTGAATAGTTTATAATATTTAGAATTTTCTACATATGTATTCATATCATCTGCAATTAATAAATTTCCTACATTTTTTTCCTTGTCCTTGTATCTTTTACTTCTTTTTTTATTTAAAGATTGCCATTTGGGTAATATTTTAAAATGACAGCTCTATTGGGATATAATATAAAGTTCACAATTTTAAAGTTGTTTTTAGTATATGTACAGAGTTGTGTAACCATCACCACTATCAAATTCCAGAACATTTTCATCACTCCAAAAAAAAAATTGTACCAATTAGCAGTCACTTCCCAGACCCAACCTCAGTCTCTAGTACCCATTAATCTACCTTCTGTCTCTATGTATTTGCTTATTCTAGGCATTTCATGTAAGTGGAATCATGCAATATGTGGCCCCTTGGATCTTCATGCCATTCTATAGTAGTCAGCCTCTATTCTTTTCTCTACTCATTTCTGTCTACATCATGTATAGGCAACCAGAACAAGAGAGGAGGCTACTCAGGTCTTTATGACAGGAAATTAGGGGTGTACGCAGAGGAAACAGAACCTGAAAAGTTGGTAGTCTGATGACATCTCTCTTCCCTAACCCTGGCTTTAGTACCAGACAGAGATGGGAGAACTGGAATATCCACTATCAAATTCTGCTGTTAAGTACTGGTGAGTTTTTGTGTGCCTCTCACAAAGGCTTAGTATGTAAGTTGTTGCGCCTTACATACTAGAATAAATTCAGAAGATCTCTCCAACTGGAAAGGTGAAATTTACAAGTATGGTTTCAGAACCTGCCTCATTATCACTGCCCTTTAGGATAATATAGTTTTTCATGCAAATCAAGGTTAGTTTCTTAGGTGGCATGACATCTTCTTGTAACCAAGGAACAGGAGTTGGACTCCTATTTATCTTCATCAGAACGCAACACTTCCTGGATCTAAAGATTAGCACTGTCTGTGCCATTTGCTTTGGCTCTTGGTCCCATTTAGGTCTTTCTTGTATTTCTGATTCCTCTCTCTTCTCATCATTCTCTTATTTTTGTTTATGTTCTTAAACTTATGGAGTCTATATACAATAGCTGTTTTTACATACTTATCTAGAAATTTCATCATCTCTGTCATTTCTAGAACTATTTCTATTGATTTATTTTTTTCCTATGTATGGCTCAAATATTCTTGCTTCTTCATTCACATAGTAATTTTTTAATGGATGTTGGATATATTTTTATGTTGTCAAGTTTTAGATTTTGTTGTCTTGCTTTAAAGAGCGTTAGACTTTGATCCGGCAGGCAGTAAGGTTACTTGATGATCAGTGTAATCCTCTTAAAGCTTGTTTTACTGCCTTTCTAGTATGGATATAGAGTAGTTTTTAGCCTAGGACTGATTTAGTCCTACTTCTAAATTGTGACTCTTTTAAGGTCTTTACTGAATGCTCCATATTATGCAATGAGGCCTCTCAACCTGGCTGGTGGACTGAATAACTCTCAATCCTGTCATCTGAACGAATCTCGATCCCATGTGAGCTCTGGAAATTGTTCTTATAGCCTCTGCATGTTGTTTCCCCAGCAAGTCTGTTATTCCTAGCTTGGCCTCATAGAATTCTGGATTATTCATGCGCAGGCTGGTATTCAGCCAACACAATTCCTATGCAGATAGGAACTACTCTGTTTAACATTTTTCTCTCAGTTATCTGTCCCACAAATTCCAGCCACCTGCTCTTTGCTTTATTATTTCCTTTCTTCTACTTTTTTTTCCTCCGCCTACTTTTTTAGTTCCTTTTTTAACCCGTTGGAATAGATACTTAGCTCATTAATTCTGAACCTTTATTTTCGTCAAATATATGCAAATAAAAACTTAAATCCCTTTTAAGAATGGCTTTAGCTGCACAGGATTTCATATGCCATTTTTATTATCATTCAGTTCAAAGTACTTTTAAATTTCCACTGAAAGTTTTCATTGACCCATGGATTACTGAGAGGTATATCTCTTACAACACCATCTATATAAAGTTTAATACCTAGTCAAGAAGTTATAAATTGGTTTTGCTCAAAAATTTTCAGGCTAGGATGTAGTTAACTTTGAGACAGAGGGGGAGAATAGTGATTACTGGGGTGAAGGGGAGTGGGGTTATAGAGCTCAAATAATATTCTATTTCTTGACTTGGTGGCAGTTTCATGAGTATATTTATTTTGTGATAATTTCAATTACTTATGTTATATACTCACTGGAAAGTCAAAAAAATTTCCTGGTTATTTTTATACATATACTTTTCCATATAGACTTAAGTCATTTTACCCAGTCAACAAAGAGTTAACTGAAATTGCATTATACATATACTTGCCTTATATTTTTTCATAATTGCATTGCTTTCAAAGTTAGCTGTTTCTTCCATAAATCGGCCCACTAGTAGCATAGCTCGACCATGGATTAACATGTTCTTACCCTCAGGTGGGGTTTCATTTTCAGGAAAACATAATTCAACACCTTTTTGAAGAACAATTAGTGCCTGGTGAACATCACCCTAAAAGAAAAAAGGCAACAATAAGCCTTTTAATTTAAAAACATATTTCTATTTTCTGCAAAAGTATTAGTTCATTAAGTATGTTTTTGTACAAATCCATGTGTAATTTCATGTTTATCTTTTGTTTGCCTCTTACTAAAGTAAAATTCTAAAACTGAAACATCGCTTCATTTCATCTTATTCATTCATTTACTAATTAATTTTATAACTGTAGTTGGCTGTCTATATCCATAGGTTCCACATCAATGGATTCAACCAAGAATGGATAGAAAATATTAGGAATGGCTGGGCACAGTGGCTCACATATGCAATTCCAGTGCTTTTGGATGCCAAGGCAGGGGGATTGCTTGGGGCCAGGAGTTTGACACTAGCCCGGGCAACATAGCAAGATCCTGTCTCTACAAAAAATTTAAAAATTAGCCAGGTGTGGTGGCTTACACCTATAGTTCTAGTTACTTGGGAGGCTGAGGAGGAAGGATCGCTTGAGCCTAGAAATTTGCAGTTACAGTGAGCTATGATGCACCACTGCACTCTAGCCTGGTTGACAGAGCAAGATCCTGTCTCTTAAAAAAAAAAAAAAAAAAAAAGAAAGCTAGGCATGATGGCTTATGCTTATAGCCTTTGCTACAAAGCACAGGCTGAGGTGGGAGGATTGCTTGAGGCCAGGAGTCCGGGGCATCAGTGAGCTATGATCATGCCACTGCACTGCAGCCTGGGCAACAGAGCAAGACTCTGTCTCTCTCAAAACATAAAACTTAAAAAAAAAAAAAAGAAATATTATGAACAAAAAATTAAAAATAATATGAATAAGCAATACAAGTATAATAACTGTTTACAAAGCATTTGCACTGTATTAGGTATTATAAGTAACCTAGAGAAGTACACAAGAGGATGTCTGCAGGTTATATGCAAATACAGTGTATGCCACTTTATATAAAGGACTTGAGTATCCAGAGATTTTGTTATCCATGGAGAATCCTGGGACCAATCTCCCCATGGATATCAAGAAAGGACTATAATCAAAGTTCAGGGAACTGAAGACAATCATGAACAAATTAAAATCCCTGGCATAAAAAAGTTCATAGTCACATGAGGAAAGAAACTATGTCAAATAACAGCATATTTGCTAAGTGCTACAACAGAGGAATATACATCGGCATTATACAGGAGAGAGAAGAGTCCCTTAAACCTACCTGAAGAATATAGGAAAATGAAGGAAAACAGCAGTCAGGAAAAGTTATCAACAAAGAAAATTTGAATTAGGTTTTCAAGAATAAGTAGAAATCTTCTTGGCAGAGAATTTAGTGAAAGGCATTCTAGGTAGATGGAATAATTTTAATTGGAAGAAAACCACATAGTCTGATTTTAGCTGAAGTTTAAAGGGTTTTTGAGATGGTGATGAATGACACTGAGGAAGTAGGCCAGGACTTGATCAGAAAGGGATTTGTATAGTTCCTAGAGTTCAGGCTTAATCCTAAAGGTATGAAGAATACTTTGTAGGATTAATCTTTTTGAAGGAGCAACATGATTCGATGTAGATTTTAGAAAGATCACAAACTGCAGTAAATGGTGAGATCCTAAAAAGGTTGTTAACATTGTTAGAGGATGTAAATAATAAAGTCATAAATTAAAGCAGTGGAAATAAATAAGAGGGAGAGGATTCAAGAGATATTTCTAAGGTTGAAGAACAAAGATTTAGTCTCCAGCTGGATATGAAAAGTAAGGTTGCAGAAGGAATTTAAGATGATGTCTAGATTTCTGCTTTCGATGGGAGGATGGAATAAAGTCTTGTTCAGAAAAGTAGGAAACGTGAGAGGAGAAACAGGTATTGAGTATTAACAATAAATTGCATTTTGAATGTATTGAGTTTAAGGTATTATAATACATAGACTAGCACTAGCTCAATAAAATGACCAGGTACTGACTAATGCACACTGAATAAACTGCTTTCCCCTCTCATCCAGGAAACATCTCCTCTCCTGTCCTTTCTCAGCCACCACAAGTTTGTGTAACCACAAATGGCACCAACAATAGTTGCTAAGTATCAATTCCAGAACATGCTATTACTATTAGTAATGCCTATTACTAATTCTAAACTGGTGACTAGCCTGAGGAGAAATTTAAGTAATAGCCATTTAAATCTGGGTTATAGGCTGGGCACAGTGGCTCACGCCTGTAATCCCAGCACTCTGGGAGGCTGAGGCAGGTGGATCACGAGGTCAGGAGATCGAGACCATCCTGGCTAACATGGTGAAACCCCGTCTCTACTAAAAATACAATTAGCTGGGCATGGCGCCTGTAGTACCAGCTACTCAGGAGGCTGAGGCAGGAGAATCACTTGAACCCGGGAGGCAGAGGTTGTAGTGAGCCGAGATCATGCCACTGTACTCCAGCCTGGGCGACAGAGTGAGACTCTGCCTCAAATAAATAAATAAATAAATAAATAAATAAATAAATAAAATAAATCTGGATCATAAATCTTGCAAGCAGTTCCAATGTTTAAAAAACCCCCTTCTCATTACTTTTGCTTTAATCTGAAGACTGCTGTGAACTTCTGTTCAGATGCTAGGCCCTTCCTGGCCAGATCAGAGCTGAATATTGACAGTAGCACTGGCAAGTCCACAGAGAGCTAATTATCTGCCAGCGACTAAGTGACAGAGTTACATTCATTTAACCAACATTTACTGTATGTATACATACATAAGGTGAAAAATTAAGAGGTCGTTTTCCTCAAGGAAAATGTAAGATAGATGAAAACTGAAAGAACTCCACATTCAGCCTTGAAATGGGAAGGTATCTGGGGACTGTAGAGTAAAAAGAATAGTTACTTCCAGGCTATGGTAGATAACTAATGAAGAAAAGTGATAGAAAAGGAAGGTTCTTAATTTGGATTAGTTATGTTCTCTCAGTTGGCCTTTTAAGGAAGTACATAATTCCCAACAGAATATATATATATATATATCTGATGACATTTCCCTGGCCATTACCTTGGACCAGAGCCACTTTGCCCTTTCCACATACAGTTCAGCGAGTCGTGATTCCCCTGCATTAAGGAGAGCATTGTAGGCTGTCTGGTGGTGACCAGCCTTTCTAGCTACTCTGGCACTCTGCAGCCAGCATTCTCCAACCATTTCATCGTAATCTGGTCTAAAGGAAGTAACAACACATGGGTGAGAGAGACCACTGACAAGCGTATGCGACAACTTAACTTAAACAATTTAAATCTAGGTCATAAACTTTGCAAGTAGTTCCAATGTTTTGAAAACCCCTCTTCCTAACACAGAAACTTCTTCATATACTATTTCAAAGGAATTAATGATTAATTTGTTCAAAGAGACTTGACTTAATTTTCTTATAGTGCTCTGTTTTACCTATTATAAACCTTATTCTTGATTTTTATCAGTAAAAAACATATCCCCCAGATATGTATTTAACATCTTAAAAAAGAGAAAGAAATGACGTAAAAAAGTGATTCTTAAGTTCTAGGTTCCTTTCAACCAGATAGTGTAGCCCTGATAATTAAAAATAGAAAAAGATAGATTCAGAAAGAAAATTAAGAAATACAAATACCCCCAAATAATATCCAAATACCAAATTCAAGATAAGTGACATTTTTAAAATAAAAGTAGCATGAGAAACCTTTTGTTGAGGCTTAGTAAAGCCCTCCGGAGGGCCAGAATAGGCTCCTTGGCTCTGTAGGAATTCTGGGTCATTTCTAGTCGAGCTACCCAGTTTAGAGAATCTTCTTGAGAACTGTCACCTGGAGAATGCTGGAAAAGTGGTTTGATGCTATGCTCCAACTCACACAACATGTGCAATCTGAAGATAGATAGAGCCTATGTTAAAATGTTATCACATTCAGCCTTATTAATCTCATATATAAAGCATGTACTTTGAATCAGAAATAAAGAATTTAAAATACACAGTTGTCTTTGGTAGAACTTTAATATATCCTTGCTAAGTAAACAATTATATTTTTATCTTTTCAAACTGAATGTAAACACCAATTTATGCTGGTTTATGTATTTAGTGCTTTAGCCAGACATGGTAGTGTGCACCTGTACTCCCAGCTACTCAGGAGACGGAGGCAGGTGGGTCACTTGAACTCAGAAGTTCAAGGTTGCAGTGAGCTATGATTATGCCTGTGAATAGCCACTGCACTCCAGCTCAGGCAACATAGCAAGACCCCATCCCTTAAAATAATAAGTAAATAAATAAATAAAATAAAATTAATTACATTAAAATTTTTAAAATAAATATTTAGGGATTTGCAGTGAATCCCAAATTCCTAATTAAATTGGAGAATGATGGATAAAACTAAATTCAAATGTATGAAAACCAAAACTTACCACCTAAATGAAAAGAAAACATGGATCCAGTATAAACCAACATGAGGTATTTGCATATATTGCCGGTGCTACTATAAGAGGGCCTGGCATAGCAGATGATAGTAAAAAATTGTGAAATTAATGTAGTTTTTTTTCTAAGAGTGATGGAAACTGTGATACATTCACTCTAGCCTTTTCCCCCTTGTATGACAGTCAGTGTCTATGATTCAGTGTTCAAGGCACAAAGATATAGCTGAGTAGCTACAGAACAGAATTAAACTCAGTGGTCCAATCTCTAGTTTCCTTAAGATATCACCAAATGGGTTGATACTAAATATAGCGAATTCTTCTAATTTAAAAAATGTGCTATGTGATAAATTTATTATACTTTAATTACAGTATTTAGTTTATCATTTTTCCTCAGGTAGAATTCACAGACCTAAAATGTTTTCCAACAGTTTCTTCCTCACCTCTAAAAGTTAATCTTCTTTCTAGTAATGTGATACCTATATTTTTGGGGGAAATATCAAATACGTTTCTAAATGAAAAGGAAAGGGAAACAATGAATAAATACCAAGCACCAATGTGCCAGGTGCTATAGATGTCTATGTTATAACGGGTTATATAGAAAGCAAACTACGACATTACAAGAGGACAAACATAAGTTATTTTTATTGTGTGTTCCATTAGTCTCATAGTTGCCTTTCCTTAAAAGGATGTATGTTAGAATTTTTTTAACTGTAGGGTAATTGCGAGGTAAGAAGAATGAAAGAGCTATCTGGTGTAGCTTTGCATGATACCAAACACTCTATCAATTATTTACTCATCAAAAAATTCCAATCCTGTCAGGTGACATTTATAGGCCAGGAATATAAAAATGGAAACCCCAAAATACCGCACAATATATTCATATCCTCGTTGGTAAGAGCCTCTTTCAAAGCTTGCAGCTGAAAGAGGTACAATTTGTTCTGCTCTCACTAGCTTCAATGTGTCATAAAAAGCTGTGATATCTCTTTTTTTGGCTGATAATAATAGCTGTCCCAGTCTGACACTCCATGTTGTAGATTTTCCATCTGAAAAACAAATGAAGAGTCAAGAAATGTCATGGTAGCTGGGTCCAAAACTCAGCTTTATTTCATTAGATAAAATGGTCAGCTGAAATATCAAACAGGGGGCTTCATTCCTTTTTTTGTTTGTTTTTTAGATAGAGTCTCGCTCTGTGGTCCAGGCTAGAGGGCTATGACATGATTATAGCTCACTGCAGCCTTGAATTTCTGGGTTCCAATGATCCTCCCACCTCAGTCTCCGGAGTAGGTGAACAGGCATGACCCACCATGCCCAGCTAAGTTTTTAAAAAAGCATTTTTGCAGAGATAGTCTCACTATTTTGCCCAGGCTGGTCTTGAGCTCCTGGCTTCAAGCAATCCTCCCATCTTAGCCTTCCAAAACACTGAGATTACAGGTGTGAGCCACCATGCCCAGCCTGGTTTCATTCTACTTTAAACAACTAAACAAGGCAATCATAAAACAGGCTAAGAGATTAAGTATGAATGTTGCTAAGTTAATTAAGTCTGAATATTTTTGTCATATTAAAACAGCTTTTTTTTTTTCCTTTGAGACAGAGTCTCACTCTGTCACCCAGGCTGGAGTGCAGTGGCGCGATCTCAGCTCACTGTAACCTCCACCTCCCAGGTTCAAGCGATTCTCCTGCCTTAGCCTCCTGAGTTGCTGGGATTACAGGCATGTGCCACCACGTCCCCCTAATTTTTTGTATTTTTAGTAGATACGGGGTTTCACTGTGTTAGCCAGGATGGTCTCGATCTCCTGACCTCGTGATCCACCCACCTCAGCTGCCCAAAGTGCTGGGATTACAGGTGTGAGCCACCGCACCCAGCCTAAAACTGCTTATATTTTAAGAAGTAATTTTACCTGCTGCCAAATAGTTTTCCACCAAATCCCACTGTGACAATTTCCAAGCTGCTTCCACTCTGTACGTGTTTAATTCATCTGTCCACTCGGACCTATTAAAAGAAACCCATATCAACTAAACTTTAATTTATTTAAAGTGACATTCAGAGATTTTTCATTGGTTTACATCTCTATTTATTATATTTATTGAATTTGCATTATATTTTGTTCTTAGAAACAAAATAATGATCTCTATCCAGAAACTACCCAGAAAATTTTAATCTTTCCATCCTTCAAAAATATTTTTTCACTAATTACTTCTGATACACCATTCTTCAACAAATTAAAGTGTGCCATATATTAGAGCAGAGTTAATTCCTGAATAATAACTAAGCCCATTGTAAAAATAGCTGCATGCTTAATTTGAACAAAGAGCAAAGAAAAACAGCCAACGGAACACACATAAATTCAGAGATAAGCAGTTCTAATAACTTAGAATTCTGAATTAAATTTAAGACAAAAATACAGGGGGGGCCAGTGGTAATAACTTAGGGACAGTTGGGAGGCATCTAGAACAATACTAAGAGCAAAAGAAAGTTACAATAATTTGTCAACGGCATAACAAAGTATATAAAACTAGCTACCTAAAATATATACCTATTTTTAAACTACTTTCAGTTAGTTTAAAATTTGAGTTTGCAAAACCAGTATGATATAGGCTAATTATTTTGTTCTAAGCATTCTACTTAGGTGACATTAGGATGACCAGTGATATTTGAGATCATGACTACACAGAAACAGCTAGGCTTTCCTCATGTTTCTTTTTTATTAATCATACTGTCTGAATTTCTGCCATATGTTTAGATCCTAGGCTAGGCATAATTTTCCATTTAATAATCTAATAACACTGCATACAGCACCTATATATCCATATTATAAATAAAGTAACAGAGAGGCTGGAATCAATATCCTTGAAAGTTTTCCTTGCTCTTTTTATTAGAGTAAAAACACATAAAGATAACAAGTGATCTAACAAGTTTCATTTTTAAAAATTTTAAAAATAGCAGCTAGAGTATGTTCCAATTTCTAAATTTATGACCACCACCAAGAACAGTTTAGAATAAGGCTAAAGAAACACAACTGAAGTGTAATTTTCAAAAGTCCAATTTTGAACGACTCTACAAGCTTACCATCAGACACCAAAATACAAAACTTTCAGGATAAAAATCTCAGTAGAATCAGGCAGTATTTGTTATCCAAATGTAGGATAACAGATTATCTATGGGATAACAGATCACAGAGGAGATGTGTCACAAGAAGCCTTATAGCAAAAAGTACCAATGGCAATCAGGATCAGGCTGTGACAATACATCCACATAAATGGGTACATTAAAAAGAATGATAAATAGGGTAAGCACAGTCAATATTTTAGGAAAAGTATTTGCTTAATGCAAATAGAAATTACCCCAAGAAAAACATGCCCCATCCATAATCATTTGCTTCACCATGACACAGCACCCCTTCATTGAATATTGACGCATGCTTTTTTCCCAACCCAAATCAGGAGGCTCTATGTATCCTAGACCCAAAGAGAAGAAAAGAGGAGTCTGAATGTGTAGTCTACGTCAAAAAGAAATTTGACACCCCAATTTGAGCCATGACTCTTTCCCAAATCTCTGTAATCTATCTATTCATAAAGTCTCTCAACTAATCAGGAGAAACACATCTAAACATAAAAGCATTCCTTCTCTACTTCTGCAAAACTTCTCTTGTGATTTCATAAATTCCACTACTGTGATACCATCTGACCAACAGTGAACTTCTCTGCCCTTAGACATTGTAGAATGATAGTCTTTATGAATCACAGTTTTGGAACCTATACAAACAGTACTTAGAAAAGGCTGGCTTCAGAATCTATAAAAAGCTTAAATAAATCAACAAGCAAAAAACAACCCCATTAAAAAGTAGGCAAAGGACATCAGCAGACACTTTTCAAAAGAAGACATATAAGCAGGCAACAAGCATATGAAAACACGCTCATCATCACAATTATTTGAGAAATGCAAATCAAAGCCACAATGAGATACCATCTCACACTAATCAGAATGGCTACTATTATTATTTTGAGACAGAGTCTCCCTCTGTTGCCCAGGCTGGAGTGCAGTGGTGCACTCTCGGCTCACTGCAACCTCCATCTCCCAGGTTCAAGCAATTCTCCTGCCTCAGCCTCCCAAGTAGCTGGGATTATAGATGTGCACCATCACACCCAGCTTATATTTGTATTATTTTAGTAGAGATGGGGTTTCACCATGTTGGCCAGGCTGGTCTCGAACTACTGGCCTCAAATGATACATCTGCCTTGGCCTCCCAAAGTGCTGGGATTAAAGGCATGAGCCACCGCACCCAGTCCAGAATGGCTATTATTAAAAAGTTTAAAAATAACAGATGTAGAAGGGGCTGCAGAGAAAAGGGAATGCTTACACACTGTTGGTGGGAATATAAATTAGTTCAGCCACTGTGGAAAGCAGTTTAGAGATTTCCCAAAGAACTGAAAATAGAATACACAGCAATCCCATTACTGGGTATATTCCCAAAGGAAAATAATTCATTCTACCAAAAAGATACATACACTCGTATGTTCATTGCAGCACTATTCACAATAGCAACGACATGAAATCAACCTAAGTGCCCATCAGTGGTGGACTAGATAAAGAAAATGTGGCACATATACATAATGGAATACTATGCAGCTATAGAAAAGAATAAAATGGGAGCTAAACATTGGGTACACATGGACACAAAAATGAGAACAACAGACACTGGGGACTACAAGGGGTGGGGGAGGGAGGGAGGCAAGAGTTGAAAAACTATCTTTTGGGTACTATGCTCACTACCTGGGTGACGGGTTCAATTGTATCCTAAACCTCAGTATCACATAATATGCTCTTGTTACTAACTTGCACATGTACCCCCAGAATCTAAAATAAAAGTTGAAAAAAAAGAAAAAGGTGGCTTCAGAGTAGTCCAAAAACAGTGGCCTGTATATTCTTTGGTTAAGTGAGATCCCATTCCCTTTTGACTAGATTTTACTGCCCAGAATAGCCATTTAGAGTCTGATGAATAAATCAAGGAATACAGCTTTCAGCTCTCACAGCAAAGCAGCGGCAAGAGCAGTGCTAATCTCCACATTTAATTTCCAAACTGGAAGAACTACTCAGCCTGAATTTTTTGCCACACATATGTATTATTTTTTGTATAATTTGATTTTCAATAATAAACCCACCATCTTTAGGAAAGGAAGGCTGCTTTCCACATTCATCAATCATTTAGGGTAAAATCAGTGCACATAGTCTACAGTGGTATTCCATCAATCAGTCACAAAGTTCGCTCCCCCACCTCTAGCACGGAAAACAACTGGTACTGATACTGTAAGCAGAGCATAGACGCCCTTTGAGGCCCAGGAAGTCCCATATGAGCCTCACCAATAGCCGGTGGGTTCTAGAAGTTCCTTGTGTTAAAGCAAATCTAATTCAAGGATGGCTCTTTAGACAGAAGCTGTTAAGTGGTAGATTGACTGAAAAATTTGAGGAAAAAAAAATTTTGGTGCTTATCTCCAATACCATGAAAACACATAAAACATTTATTACTCTACTAAACATTAAGTTACACAATTCACTAATTAAAAATTTCCCATTCAGATAAAATAACAAAAGAAAATCATTATTTTATAAAATATTACCTGTTAGCATGCACTCCATTCACCTGAGTGATAACAGTAGACAGCTGACCAAGACCTAACATGGACTTTACTACACCATGATAATGAATGATCTAGAAATTTAAAAATATTTAAAATAGCAATTATCACTTCAATAACAGTTTGGGGACCAAAAACAGCTTAACTGATACTCTTTAAAAATTACTATTTACTTTATTGCCCTTATTTTATTTTTATTATTATTATTATTTTAATTTTTTGTAGAGACAGGGTCTCGCCATGTTGCCCAGGCTGGTCTCAAACTCCTGGGCTTAAGAGATCCTCCTGCCTCAGCCTCCCAAAGTGCTAGGATTATAGGCACGAGCCACCATGCCCAGCTACACTTTTCTTAATTTGACAATTGACTTTCTTACTTACATGCAGGACCCCCATCACAGTCCTAACACATTTAAAGTAACATAAATAAATGTAGACAACCTAGAAAATCTCAGATTGAAGTTATTATATTTTTCCAGATTTGGACTACTTTTTGGTTCAGATCAAATATTAAAAATATCTAATAGCTTTGATATTCTGTTTAAAGACTGTCATATTTCTCACATAAACATTCAAGCTCAAAGGTCCTGATGTTTTCAATATGGATTTCAGGCTTTAGCAACTAAAAAGTTAAAGAGGATTACGTACTATCCTTTAAAACGAAAATAAGATTGTGAAAAATAAAGAACTTATATATCGTACTTCTGAGAAACATGTCAAATATGACAGAAGGCATCATCCCAAAATTAGAAAGAATCTAAGGCAAGATTATAAATTAATGATTCTAAACCCCTTTCCCATCCCAATAGACACACAACTTATTCCCATTACTAACTGTAACTCAGTGATTCCACAGGACCATTTTAGAGACGTGCAGGTGGGTGAGTAGGATGGGGGTAGATGTATAAAATATGAAAATCTTTCTCAGGCTATGGAGAATCCCTACTTCTACAAATTGATCCATGGCTTACACTTTTAATAGCAAACTAAAAATACATACATTTTAGAGTTATTAAATGAACATTTTAATATAGATATACTTCATAATAAATCTCATTCATTTAGGGAATTTCTAAAGTCATACAAATACAGTATTGGAAGGGATTTTTTTTTTTTTTGAGATGGAGTTTCACTCTTGTTGCCCAGGCTGGAGTGCAATGGCACGATCTCGGCTCACTGCAACCTCCAACTCCTGGGGTCAAGCGTTTCTCCTGCCTCAGCCTCCCAAGTGGCTGGGATTACAGGTGCCCGCCCCCACGCCCAGGTAATTTTTTTGTATTTTTAGTAGAGATGGAGTTTCATTATGTTGGCCAGGCTAGTCTCGAACTCCTGATCTCAGGCAATCCACCCATCTTGGTCTCCCAAAGTTCTGGGATTACAGGCCAAAGTTCTGGGATTACGAGCCACCGCACCTGGCCTGGAAGGGATCTTTAAAATCATCTAGTAAAGTCTCTAATTTTATCTGTTAGGAAACTCAAGCTTAGAGAGTTTTCCAGACACTCTGGGACACTGACAGAAACAGTATTAAAACTAAGGTTTCGGCTGGATGTGGTATGGTGGCACACGCCTGTAATTACAGCTACTCGGGAGGCTGAGACAGAATTGCTTGAGCCCAGGAGACAGAGGCTGCAGCGAGCCAAGATCGTGCCACTGCACTCCAACCTGGCCGACACAGTGAGACTCTGTCTCAAAAAACAAAAAACAAAAAGAACTAAGGTTTCCAGAGTTCCTATTCAGGGCTATTTTCATTACAGCTGCCTTTTAATTATTATCTTACCTGGTCTGGTTCTAGCTGAATAGCCCTATCATAACAAGCAGTGGCATCCCTCAGCAAACCAAGGCTTTCATGTTCAAGGATCTGTTCTTTTAGAGATGGTTCTGCCTTTCTAATTGCGCTGACTCCGGCCACTCCATCAGGTTCATGCATAGCAGCATACAATTTCTTTGTTCAATGATTAAAAAACAATCAAAAACAAGAAAAAAATAGAACTGGAAATAAAACTATAAAACCACCTGTTTATATTGAAAGAGCAATTTTTTGAGAAATTTTTCCTCAAAGTAATAGTAAGCACTTGTTTCATGGCAGAGTCAGAGTAAAATTACAAACTTATTTCTAGACATTCTATTCCCTCAACGTTCTTATTCCTCTTAAATACAAATCTATCAATATCTGTTATTGATCATAAGGGTTATAAAGAACCTCAGGATCCTAAAACTGTCTAGATCCAAATGATAACATATTCTATTGAGTACAGTTTATAAGAGTTTTATTGAATTTTTAAATTTTTAAAAATTTAAATAACCATTTTAATATATTGTTATTGAGATGCCTTCAAGAAAACCAAGACAGCAATCTGGGCTCAAAGGGGATATTCAAGCTAAAGATAAAAATTTAGGAATCAATTAGCACAAAGACATTCTCTCGCAACATGAGAAAGAATGGGATGATCAGGAAATGGATAAAGAAGAAAAGAAGGCTGAGGATAGAGACTAGAGTTTCTACATTTATCAACAAGGAAGAGCTGACAAATGAAACAGGAGAAGCAAGAAAACTTGGAAGAAAACTGGAGAATAAAATATCCCAGAAGCCATGGGAGAAAAGCAAATGTCTTAATGAGAACGGCATGGTCAATGATACTGAGGTTAAGAAAAGGAGGGCTGGGAAAAATTTACTGGATTTAGTAACATGTGGCCACCAATTTTCTTAGCAATAATAGTGTCAAGAGAAAAGAAAAAGAGAAGTCTTGTCGAAATGGGAAGAGTGAATAAGAAACAAAGAAGTGACTGCAGTATAAGGAAACTAGATAATTCTTTCAAAAACTGGTTATGAAGTTCTGGAAACAGAGAGATGGGATGTATCTAAAGGAGAAGGTAAGATCAAGGGAATTCTAAAAAGTTAAGGCTTTACCGGAACATGTCTATATGCTCTATATATTCTGGTTCCCAAAGAGAAATTAATTACACTAGAGAAAAAAGGAATATATGAAGAAGTTATATCTTGAAATTGAGAACACAAGTAGAAAGATTGAATTTTGAGAGGAAGAAATCCTTCCTTAAAAATAACAGAAGAAGCCAGGCACAGTGGCTCATGCCTGTAATCCCAGCACTTTGAGAGGCCAAGGCAGGCAGATCATTTGAGGTCAGGAGGTCAGCCCAGGCAACACGGAAAACCCCATCTCTACTAAAAATATAAAAAATTAGCCAGGTGTGGTGGCAGGCCTGTGGTCACAGCTGCTTGGGAGGCTGAGGTGGGAGGATCCTTTGAGCCTGGGAGGTGGAGGTTGTAGTGAGCTGACATCGTGCCACTGTACTCCAGCCTAGGTGACAGAGCAAGACCCCATCTCAAAATAAATAAATAAACAAAATAACAGAAGGGAAGAAAAAGAATATGGTGCAGATGCTGTGCATTTGCAGATTTTTCTGAATGAATGATGAAGCAAGATCGTCAGCTGGAAGCAGGGAAACAAAATGAAGGTAAGAGATAGTCATCTTGACAAGTGGGAAAGTAGCCTTACTAGAGAAACACCGCAGGCCTGAAGGTAATGTTAGAGTCCTGCAGTTTTAAAGATGTTTCAGATCATGAACTTAAACTGAAACCAGTTATAACACCCACTGTGTAATTTTTCTCCAGCTGCTTATATGGTTGGAGTTTTACAAAGGGAGTACAACGCAGTGGGAAAAAGACAAGAAGTTGAGCATCACTCTAAGGGAGTGATTTTAACCATGAACCATAGACTTAAAACTGGACAAGGAGGAACACAAAGATAGGACGGGGCTAATATTCATCTTAAGACTGCAAGTTACTAATTTTCTAGTTCTTTTATCACACTTTGCTTTTTGATTTGAAAAGCCCACCAATCTTAAGCTCTTATTTAATTCCACTGTATTCGCCTCACCTGCTCTTACTTTCTTTTCTTCCCTACACAATCATAACATTGCCTAAATCATTATTTCACCAGCATTTTCATGCCTGATACCTGACATAACCAACACTTCCCCCTACTCACTCACTCCCAAATTCAGGACCACAACTCTCACAAGGAGAAGAGTAATTCCTTGAATCGTAGCCCTTCCAAACTCCTCCTCCATAACTGCCACAGGCATTTAGCTAAAATCCCATTGTGATCATAACACTTCCCTAGTTCACACCCTCCAAGAAGTTTGGGCAACTTAAAAAGTCCTCTATTATTTGTGATCTTTCCTCTGCCATTCCAAACCGACACTTTACTCTTTGGCATATACCATGCTTTTTTCAAACACTCCACAGAGGTGCCTCTGCTTATAATGTCTTACCTCCCTATACTGCTCATTTTTTAAGACACCATCTCCAAGAAGCCATTTCTGACCTCTTGGCTCATCCGCTTCCATCTCCCACCCTATTCCACATGGATGAGTTATGTGTCCTTCCTCGGGGTACATGTATGTTACCATACTTAAAATATTATACCAAATTGATGTTTATCTCTCCCCATTAATCTATAAGCTTCGAAGCATAGCATCTAAAACATTCAATAAAATGAACAACACAAACATAAAAGACTGGCTACATTAATTTTCATTATTAAATTCACTACATTAACTTCAGACCTGTAAAAATCCAAGATGTTCCTGAATATTTTGCTTCTTTTCTGTAATAAATGATTCAAAGTGCATTACAGCTCGTGTGTATGCTTTGGAGCGAAAGGAAGCTACTGCCAGAGTATCCTGGGGTATGAGGTCTAGAAAACGAGTTACACTCTGATAGTCTTCATAATCCACAGTAGATACTAGATCATAAAAAAAGAAGTTGAGTAATTAAAGACTTTTAAGATAAAACTTTAAAAGTGTCAGTTTAAGTAAGTTCAATTTATTTCACTAAACAAATTAAGCTGAATGTATTAGGATATATTTAGAATGTAACTAACAACAGAACAATTATTCAGAGAGTCTTGCTCCAACTCTGCCATTATAACTTACCTTTCTTTGGATAATCATTTAATTTATTGAGCCTCTATTTCTTTACCTATAAAAGGAAAACGTTAGTATCTGTCTTGCCTTCCTTACAATGTTGTTGGTGAGGATTAAATATCAATCTATTATTACGTTTTGAAAAGATATAATGATACAAAAGATACAAGATTATTTTTTGATGACTATAAAAAATGATTAAATGTAGCTATTTTGTTGGGAAAGTACAGAACTATGGAAATAACCTTTTTTAAAGTTTAGAATTCTTTTTTTTCACCTATTTTTTCTTGGTTGCCAAATGTACAGTATCACCAATTAAAATAGAAATTGAAAGTAAAAGTGCCTTCAAAGTAAAACCACAAGTACTTTAGGATAATTTTTCAAGAGTGTACAAAAAGACAAAAATTAAAAACTTCTAAATGAGGACAGTCTAGTTTATAAATTGTTATTTAAAACTTCTAAATTTTAATGATTCATAACAGCATGGAGAAAACAGAAACCAATTTCTTCAAAATTTAAATTAAGGTAGTATATTTTATTTTTTATTTATTTACTTTAAAAAATTTATTTTGATCTCACTCTGTCACGTAGGCTGCAGTGCAGTGGCATGATCATAGTTCACTGCCGCCTTCACCTCCTGGGCTTAAGTGATCCTGCCTCAGCCTCCCGAGTACCTGGGACCACAGGCATGTGCCACCATGCCTGGCTAAGTTTTGTATTTTTTGCAAAGATGAGGTCTCATTATGTTGCACAGGTTGATCTTGAACCCCTGAGCTCAAGTGATCCTCCTGCCTCGGCCTCCCAAAGTGCTAGGATTACAGATGTGAGCTACTGTGCCTGGCCTAAGGTAGTATATTCTAAACAGATTATATTTAAAATAAGGTCCTTATTTCCATCAAAATTTGCAGAGGATTTCAAATTATGATTTTTTTTTTTTTCCTGGAGACAGGGTCTTGCTCTGCTGCCCAGGCTGGAGTGTAGTGGTGTGATCTTGTCTCACCGTAGCCTCAACCTCACAGGGTCAAGCGATCCCCACACTTCAGCCTTGCGAGTAACCTGGGACTACAGGCACATACCAACCACACCCAACTAATTTTTGTATTTTTTGTAGAGATAGCAGTCTCTACAAAAATGTTAAAGAAATGTTAAAGGTATTGTACTTTTCAACCATTACAAATGTTATTCTTAAAAGCTAGAATTTTGGCCAGGCGCAGTGGCTCACACCTGTAATCCCAGCACTTTGGGAGGCCGAAGCATTGCCTGAGCTCAGGAGCTTGAGACCACTCTGGGCAATGTGGTGAAACCCTGTCTCCACCAAAATACAAAAAGTTAGTCGAGTGTGATGGCGTGTGCCTGTAGTCCCAGCTACTTGGGAGGCTGAGGCACAAGAATCACTTGAGACTGGGAGGTGGAGGTTGCAGTGAGCCAAGATCGTGCCACTGCACTCCATCCAGCTTGGGCTACAGAGTAAGACTCTGTCTCACACACACACACAAAAAAGCTACTGTCACTGAAAATGGTGATAATAGAGTGTTAGGTTTTACAGTACCATTTTGACATGCAGAAATAAAACCAAACAGGCCGGTTGTGCTGGCTCATGCCTGTAATTCCAACACTTTGGGAGATCGAGGCAGATGGACTGCTTGAGCCCAGGAGTTAGACACCAGCCTGGCCAACATGGTGAAACCCTGTCTCTACTAAAAGTACAAAAAATTAGCTGGGCATGAGGCATAAGAATCACTTGAATCCAGAAGGTGGAAGCTGCAGTGAGCCAAGATCACGCCACTGCACTCCAGTCTGGGCAACAGACAGAGGCTTGGTCTCAAAAAAAAAAAAAAATTAAAAATAAACATTTAATTGTTAAATATAAAAATATATTAATAGCCAGATTCCAGACAAAAACATTCCCCAAGCAGGTAATTATTGGCAAGTCCAGAAAATTTTAGAAAAATGATAAACTGTTTTGCTTAATAACAGGAATGTATCTGCTTCAACAGAACAAGAGGGAGAGTCTCACAAATTGAGAATTATGGAAGGGGAAGGCCTCTTAAAGGATTGTTAGATAGTCAGTTTTTCAATTAGCCTGAAAGCCTGCAGGAAAAACACTTGATGTCCGTGAGAACAGCTGAGGTATAAGGCCAGATTATAACCATCCACTTATTGCAAGAATGAAAAAAAAAGGTTCAAAGAAAGTAAGAATATCTATTAGTGTGTGATGAATATAATTCTCATCAATGCTCATACCATAGGAACAAATTAGCAGGTGTCATTTTTAAATCAAGATTCTTCTTAGTGAAAGTTGTAATATCACAGGAAAAAAAAGTGCAAGGTAAGACATAGCAGGGTGTAGTGTAGTAATGCATATAAGCATATCTGGACAGCTGGCTAGATACCAAACACTACTACAGACAAGAAAAATAAACAAAAATAGCTTCTCTTTAGGCCATGAAATAAATAAAATTAAAATCTCCCTTGAAATGTAAAACTTAAATGTGAAAAAGATTACAAAGAATATTTTCCAAGTGAAGAATGACAAAGACCAGAGTACACACACACACACAAACACACGCACACACACACAAACACACACACACACACACAAACGGAGGGAACATATAATATGTTAACATGGAGGATTAGGTTAATAACAATATTATCATCTCATTTATTTCACACTTTATAATTTCATCATCTCATTTATTCCTCAAAACAATCCCCTAAGGGAGATAATATTAACCCCATTTTAGCCAGGTGTGGTGGCTCACGCCTGTAATCTCAGCACTTTGGGAGGCTGAGGTGGGTGGATCACTTTAGGCCAGGAGTTGGAGACCAGCCTGGCCAATATGGTGAAACACTGTCTACTAAAAATACAAAAATTAGCCGGGCATGGTGGCACACACCTGTAATCCCAGCTACTCACAAAGCTGAGGCAGGAGAATTGCTTGAACCCAGGAGGTGGAGGTTGCAGTGAGCCAACATCCTGCCACTGCACTTCTGCCTGGGCAACAGAGCAAGCCTCCATCTCAAAAAAAATTAATAAATAAAAATATTAACCCCATTTTATACAAAGAAAAAATAAGTATGTGTCTTGTCCAACTAAGAAGAGAGAAAGGTCTTTTGACTATAAATTCACTGTTTCTTCTCAGTGAAAAGGCCACACTATCACCCATTTTAAAAATACACAAAACGGCTGGGTGCGGTGGCTCACGCCTGTATAATCCCAGCACTTTGGGAGGCCAAGGCAGATGGATAACCTGAGGTCAGGAGTTCGAGACCAGTCTGGCCAATATGGCGAAACCCTGTCTCTACTAAAAATACACAAAAAAAATTAGCTGGGCATGGTGGTGGGCACCTGTAATCCCAGCTACTTGGGAGGCTGAGGCAGCAGAATTGCTCGAACCCAGGAGGCAGAGATTGCAGTGAGCCAAGGTCACACACCACTGCACTCCAGCCTGGGCAACAAGAGGGAAACTCCGTCTCCAAAACAACAACAACAATAACAACAACAACAAAGATAAAACAAGGTATTTTTTAAGCTAGCGCTTAAATTATGGAACTGATAAAGGGAAGAGTTAACTGGTGACTAGTTTAAAAAAAAAAAAAAGAAAATAAACAGAAGTGACAACTCACCCAATGAGTCTACCTTATTTCTGTTTGATTTACTGTGTGGACATTTCTCAGCTTTCAGTGCCTGAAATTTGTGCCTTGCCCACTGGGTGAGATGGTCAAGCATGGAGAACACAGTCTGTGTACTGAGTTGACACAGATCAGATGCAATGTCTTGGGTATTTATGGTATGCTGATCGTCATGCTTTAGAACTGCCATAATTTCTGCATAAACCTATGAGAACCATTTTATAGTTAATAATAATATCTATATAATACCATTTAACGATTATATGACATACAAAGCTAACCATTCTAAGGCAAAAATTTTCAAAAGAAAAAACGCAGTCGGCCAGGCATGTTGGCTCACACCTGTAATCCCATGATTTTGGGAGGCTGAGAAAGACCAATCGCCTGAGGTCAAGACCAGCCTGGTCAACATGGTGAAACTCTGTCTATACTAAAAATACAAAAAAATTAGCCAGGCATGGTGGCACATGTGTGTAATCCCAGCTACTCAGAAGGCTGAGGCAGGAGAATCACTTGAACCTGGGAGGTGGAGGTTGCAGAGAGCCGAGAGCACCACTGCACCCCAACTTGGGCAACACAGGGAGACTCTGTCTCAAAAAAAGAAAAAGAAAGCACAATTGATCAATAATACATTATTGTTCTTATCTATAATTAAATCTATCCAAATATTAGTCTAAAAAGAAAATATGCTAAAGACTAAAGAAAATTTTAATTGAAAATATTATAGATTATTCAATAAATGATAATGAAACTTTGTTAATAGTGAAAAAATCTTTGAGTAATATCTCACACTATATGCAAAATTAATTTCAGAGTAATTGAAGACAATATAAAAACAGAATAATTAAAAGAAAATACAGCAAATAAGTTCATGACATAAGAAAAGGCATCACATAAAAGGCTTAAAATTAATAATCTATAAAAGATGTATAAATTTTGCATTTACATTTAAAATTTCTGCGTGGCAAAAGGTGAAAAGGTTAAAAAGAAAATGACTAAGTTGGAATAATTTTTGAAAATACGACTGGCAACAAATTGGTAGCTAGAATATACATAGAACGTCTATCAATTAAAAGGATACACACACCAAATAGGCAAAGATATGTAAATGAACATACATAGCCATACATAGATCTACATTTCCTACTAATAGGTAGTCTTTCTAATACGAATCACATTGGAGAAAATAAGTTTCACATGTTCAAAAACCAAGTAAGATGATTTATCTTACCTCCTGCTGATCTTCTTGATTACAACCCAGTAAGACATACACCAGAATATGTGGAAGAAGATAGATGGTCACTTTGAAATCATGCTTCATCATAATGCTACAGCAGGTGAAAATTTTACTGGCAAGATCATGCCGAACCTGTAAACTCAAAATGTGTAGAGACAGTAACACACTTTAATCTATTGATTAAATGTCAAAAACTAGCATGCGAGATAATTTATCAAGGACAAGTATTCATTTCCAAATTTTAAAAAAATTTAATTAATTTTTAATTAAATTATTTGGGGTTGAAGTCAAATTTTGTTATGACTTAACTTTTGATTTGCTAACACTGTGGAACTCATAAAATTTTAAAGAGATTTTTTCTTCAAATACAAAGCCAAAAAACAAAAAAAAAAACTCACAATATTCCACAGCTGAAAATAGTTAACAGTATTCCACATTTCACACATTATATTTTCAGTATATTCATTAAAAAAAAGAAAATGTCAGCCGGGCACGGTGGCTCATGCCTGTAATCCCAGCAATTTGGGAGGCCAAGGCGGGTGGACCACGAGGTCAAGAAATCCAGACCATCCTGGCCAACATGGTGAAACCCCGTCTCTACTAAAAAAAAAAAAAAAAAAAAAAAAAATTAGCTGGTGTGGTGGCGGTTGCCTGTAGTTCCAGCTACTCGGGAGGCTGAGGCAGGATAATCACTTAAACCTGGGAGGCAGAGGTTTCAGTGAGCCAAGATTGTGCCACTGCACTCGAGCCTGGTGACACAGCAAAATTCCGTCCCCCCCTCCAAAAAAAGAAAATGTCTTGAAGTTACCAACTAAAATTAGTATAATGGTATTTTAAAACACTAACAGAAATGTTAATTAAAGGCGGGGCACGGTGGCTTACGCCTGTAATCCCAGTACTTTGTGAGGCAGAGGCGGGCAGATCACCTGAGGTCAGAATATCGAGACCATCCTGGCTAATACGGTGAAACCCCGTCTCTACTAAAAAAAATACAAAAAATTAGCCAGGCGTGGTGGCGGGCACCTGTAATCCCAGCTACCTGGGAGGCTGAGGCAGGAGAATGGCATGAACCCGGGAGGCGGAGCTTGCAGTGTGCGGAGATCACTCCACTGCACTCCAGCCTAGGCGACAGAGTGAGACTCCCTCTCAACAACAACAACAAAAAAAACAAAGATTAGCCGGGAGTGGTGGCTCATGCCTATAATTCCAGCTACTTAGGAGGCTGAGGCGGGAGAATCACTTGAACCTGGGAGACTGAGACTGCAGTGAGCCGAGATCGTACCACTGCACTCCAGTCTGGGGGCAAGAGCAAAACTAAGTCTCAAAAAAAAAAAGAAAAAAAAAGAAATGTGAATTAAAAACAAAAATTATAAATTTTAAATATACTGTAAACATTTTCTTGGAACACAGAGTACCTTTTGTCTATCCAGCATGTAAAAATTTCTCATTAAGGAAATAGAAATATACCTGTTTTTCCATGAAAATTCATTTTAAAAATCCTTACTTTTATTTTAGAGAAAGTTCAGATAATACAACTTCTTTTAGAAATGCCATTAGAGTATAATATATCTCTTTATTGAATGTCTTTTTATTACGTAAAAAACTCTGACATAGCATTTACATCCTTTTACACAGTATTATTTTACAATATAAAAGGAACAAACATAATGCAATTTTGCACACACATTAAGACCATAGTAATTTTCTTGGTGAAACAATTACTTTTCACTCAGAAACTATTATTAGTAACTACAGAGAAATTATTCTCTATTAGTAAACATTTTCTTCAAAAATTTCTATGATTATCAGCACAAATACTTCAATGACTATTATGTGTACTATGCATTCAGATAGATGTTCTGGTTTCCTTTAAAATTTCTGTTCAGTGAACAAAATGAACAGGGTTTCTTACCTTTGTTATAAGATAACCTGCCCAAGATGCTGACCATTCTGCAAAGTTACTACCCAATTTACTTAAGTAAATTGGCTTCTTTACTCCAGACCAATCGGTTGACTTCTGAGAACTCTTGTATCTGTAATTTTGAAAATTTGTTTATTAAAAAGATAAATCCACCTGTTTAGAATTTTAGTAAATTACAGCAACTTCTTCAGTGACTACTGTAGTACTGCCTTGCCTTTACTGCAATCTGCTTACCTTTTTCCAGCATCCTTCTTAGGGGTGAGGTAGATCATTCTTGCACATCTAAAGTACTTTTAAGGATTCGAGTCTGCCCCCTCGTCTTCCTCAGATCCTTCCAACTTTATTCTTGTATAAGAAAAATCTGTTCCTTTGAAGTTCAAGCCACCCAGGTATACTACTATTTTCTACTCCTCATTATGGGCAACTACTCAACTCACTGATTACCAAACTCACTGATAACTTTAGAACATTGCTCAGGGTTTTCTTTCTTCCCCAGTGTTATTATCATCCTGGGTGACTTCAGTGTCTAGCTGGAACACTTAATCAAGCTCAGAACTTTCCAATGACTTTCTCCTCTACTTATCAGGCTCAGGAATTATCAGGGCTCCCATGCTAATTCAAAGAACTTCTTCCCTTCAAAATCAATTATTTAGACATCTCATTGTATAGTCATAGTTTCCTAAATTTCTAGTTTTTTCACCGTTATTCCAGCACATCCATTCTCTCTTGTTGAGATCTTCTGTTCCGTGACGCTGCTAAGCTCTCCTGATCTATGACACCCCCGTCTCTTTGCCTCTTTCCACAACCATCTTAGTCTCTGTATGGTCCTTCATTTCTAGCATTCTCTTGGTAATATCATCTACCCACTCCATTGCCACACTGTCTTTTCCAGCAGTATTCATCTGCTAACCTCCCAAGCTTGAATCAGTCTAAATATTGGCCTTTACTGAAATGATACTCAGGCCACTGCACCGATACAGGAATATCACTAACCCACTTATAAGATTAGTACTACTATGTATTCTTAGTCTTCAATGTCAGTGGGCCGCTAAAGTTACAGAATTCCTTGTAAGTTTTCATTATGGCTCTCTTCTGTTTTCCAGTGATTATTTCAAACCATCACCACCCTCCTAAAGTTACCTACACCAAATTCATTGCCACTTTCAGCCAATGAGGTCATCTCTTATACCTCCTACTTCGGAGTAAAAACAAAATCATTGCTTCCTGCAATGAAATCTGTAAACTTAGCTGTGTTCCATCCATTATTTTATCTTTCCCTATTGCAAAAAAAAAAAAAAAGAGAGATCTTATTCCTTCTAATTCCCTGTAAGGGCCATGGCTCTCCCATTCCAGATGCTCTTTGGGGTCCTTACTATACCAACTATCACTTCTCTCTCACATTACTTCAACATGGCCCTTTCTGTGCTCGCTTCGGCAGCACATATAACATGGCCCTTTCTATTTGCTCCTCAGCATTAACATTTAAACATGTTCACAGAGCTCTCATTTTACAGCTACCCGTGTGTAGGATTTTTTGAGTGGCATGGGTTTCTTTCAAATCACCAATAAAAGCTTCGGAAATAACAAATAAATGCCTACACCCAAAGTTTTTTTGTTTTTTTTTTTTTTATACCCAAAGTTTTATACCCAAATTTTATATGTATATAAAATTTCACTGTATTCCAAGTTTCTAACAGTTGAAAAATCCAATAATCTCTCAGTTAACCATCACACTAAACCAGGAAAAAAAATTCAAATCCCTATTTTGAATTATCACGAGTATAGTTCTCTAGATGATTTTTATCAAAATTATAGTAAACTTAGCTAGAAAACTACTGATACTGGGATACAAGCCAGGTTCTGCCTAGTCACATCCTAATGTTTTCTCCTAAAGTTATTTCTATGGCAATTTTGAACTGCAGTTGTTCTGTCTGGTTCTAAATTTCAATCTCCCAAATACAGTCATCCTTTAATCCAGATTTAGTGATTACATATAAAGAGCCCGAATTAAAGGAAAAAACAAAACAAAACATAAAGTAGGGAGTATAAAGCTAGCAAAAATATGAATATGCTTTTAAGAAATTCTGTATTTCCCTAGGTCCTCTGGAGTAAATATCAAGCAGTCCAAGCTATAAAATTGAGCCACAGGCTAACCTGGTATTTTAGTGTTTCATACAAAAGGGAATCAACGCTACTGAAAATGCGCTCTATCAACCTCTTAATTTTATGTGGCTCCAGTTTCAACAAGCAGATCCCAACTAGGTGAATCTCCTAACTTCTATCATTGAGGAATCATTCAAGAGGTTATTCTAACTGCTCAGGTATAAAAGCTAAAGAACAAAATAATTTTCATTGCTTTGTTAAGATCACACTTTTAAGCGACCACTTAAAAGTTGCTTCCTACAAAAAAAAGAAAACAAGTAGGCAGAAACGTTGGCTTCTACTTCTTATGAAGTAGATGATAGCCAACCTCACAAATTCTCCCCCCAAAAACTTGCTAAGTACTTTTTAATTTTTTTTTTTTTTTTTTTTTGAGACGGAGTCTCGCTCTGTCCCCCTGGCTGGAGTGCAGTGGCGCGATCTCGGCTCACTGCAAGCTCCACCTCCCCGGTTCCCGCCATTCTCCTGCCTCAGCCTCCCGAGTAGCTGGGACTACAGGCGCCCGCCACCGCGCCCGGCTAGTTTTTTTTTTTTTTTTTGTATTTTTAGTAGAGACGGGGTTTCACCGTGGTCTCGATCTCCTGACCTTGTGATCCGCCCGCCTCGGCCTCCCAAAGTGCTGGGATTACAGGCGTGAGCCACCGCGCCCGGCTTACTTTTTAATATTATCTCCTTTATTCCTAACAATAACCATACAAAGTGGGTAAAATTATCCATGTTTTCAAAATTAAAAAATTAAAACCCGGAAATGTTAAATAACTTGCCCAAGACTTCAGAGCTAGCAAATGCAAAGCCAACATTCAAACCTAAGCCTGTGTGACTCTAAAGGCCATAAACCTTCCAATAGATTACAGAAATGTTTGGACCTCTACAGGTGCTATACAAAACACAGACTAAGAAAATGGGGGAAGTATGGAGTCCTCAAAAACGAAAATCCAAATTTTAACTTTAGTCTTTTACTTTACTTTTTAAATAATGCTAATAGTGGCCGGGTGCAGTGGCTCATGCCTGTAATCCCAGCACTTTGGGAAGCCCAGGTAGGCAGATCACTTGAGGCCAGGAGACCAGCCTGGCCAACATGATGAAACTCCATCTCTACTAAAAATACAAAAAGTAGCCAGGCATGGTGGCACATGCCTGTAATCCCAGCTACTTGGGAGGCTGAGGCAGGAGAATTGCTTGAATCCAGGAGGCAGAGGCTGCAGTGAGCTGATATCGCATCACTGCACTCCAGCCTGGGCAACAGAGTGAGACTATGTCTCAAAAATAATAATAACAGTAATAATTCTTCTTTAATAGGCTAATAATAATAATGCTAAATAGTCACTTCTTTAATAATGCTAGTCATACAACATAAAATGATGTTTAAAAGATTTCTAAGTATAAAAAATTATCTAGGAAATAAATATGCATACCTCGGGGCTTTTATAAAGAATTTTAGGGTAAGTCTAGGCACTGTCTAAGGTTCAAAGAAGTTATTTGTCCAAAGTCAAGTATCTAATATGCATGGGTACCTAGGGTACCAAAAAGTACAGTTTCTAAATAGAAATAATTTCTAATTGTATGGATTTTTAAAAAACGTAAAATGCTTCATGAATTTGCATGTCATCTTGCGTATTTCATCAGTCCTAACAAAGTCATTTAAATTTTTTAAGAGATTAAATACATCTTTTTAAAAGTAGAGGGCAAAAATATATTCATGAGGAGAAACCGGCAGTAATGAAAATCTTTAATTGGGCTTATTAAAGGCTTTCTGACTAGCTTTAAACTTTAAATTTCTGTATTAATTATACCTATCAAAGAATTCAACTCACATTCAGCTTAAAGTACATCTTTCAATTTACTACCGACAGTTGAACTTTTAAAAATCAGTCCTTTTAACTTTAATAAATTTATCTGAATATTTAAAGTTGTAGAATTTAACCCAATGAGCAGACTGCACTTCTCATCTAGACAAATTATAAGCATAAATCATAGTGAAAAATACATATAAGGAGATATTAAAATACTTTTAATGTTAAAAAACTATATCAAAAATCGAATTTTTTTTTTTCCCAAGACAAAGTCTCACTCTGTCGCCCAGGCTGGAATGCAATGGCATGATCTCGGCTCACTGCAACCTCTGCCTCCAGAGTTCAAGTGAGTCTCCTGCCCCAGCCTTCCAAGTAGCTGGGATTACAGGTGTGCGCCACCACACCCAGCTAATTTTTGTATTTTTAGTAGAGATGCGGTTTCACCATGTTGCTCAGGCTGATCTTGAACTCCTGACCTTGTGATCTGCCCGCCTCTGCCTCCCAAAGTGCTGGGATTATAGGCGTGAGCCACCGCGCCTGGCCAAAAAAATCACATTAATTTTTATATAAAAACAATTTTATGAAAATACATTAAATAAGCCTGCATACCTGGTATTTAGATGAGGTTCTAGTATTTCCCGAACATGCTCAGGAAATCTCCTCCACAATTGGTGACCTGGGCCATTAGTCTCCATCTCTCTACAGTCATAAATAGAAAGCAACTCCTACAAATACATATTTTACATTTGTAAGTCCACAGTGAAGCAGATAATGCTTTATCTTCATCAATGTTCTACATATTTTAGTTATTAAAACACAGCCATAACTCATTTTACTGCACTTCGCTTGATTTGTGCTTCACAGATGCTGTGTTTTTTCTTGTCTGTTTTTTTTTTTTTTTTTTTTTTTTTTTAGAAATAGAAGGTTTGTGGCCACTATGCATGGAGTAAATCTATCAATACCAATTTTCCAACAACATATGCTCACTTCATGTCTCTGTGTCACATGTTGGTAATTCTCAAAATATTTCAAACTTTTTCATTATTACTATATCTGTTATAGTGATATGTGATCAGTGATCTTTGATGTTACTGTTGTAATTGCTTTGGGGCTCCACAAACTGTGCCCATATAAGACAGTGATCCTAATCGATAAATGTCGTGTGTGTTCTGACCAGTCCACTGACTAGCTGTTCCGTCCCTCTCCCTCTCCCTGGGACTTCATATTCCCAAAGACATAACAATATTGAAATTAGGCCAATTAATAACCTTACAGTGGCCTCTAAGTATTCATATGAAAGGAGGAATCGCACATCTCTCACTTTAAATCAAAAGCTAGAAATGACTAAGCTTAATAAAGGAGGCATGTCAAAAACCTAGACAAGCCAAAAGCTAGGTGTCTTGCACCAAACAGCCAAATATAAATGCAAAGAAAAAGTTCTTGAAGGAAATTAAAAGTGTTACTCCAATGAATACATCAAATATAAGAAAGAGAAGCAGTCTTATTGCTGATACAAAGTTTTAGTGGTCTGGATAAAAGATGAAAATAGTCACAACATTCCCTTAAGCCAAAGTCTAATCCAAAGAAAAACCCTAGTTCTCTCCAATTCTATGAAATCTGAGAGAGGAGAATAAGCTACAGAAAAAAAGTTTGAAGTGATATGATTCAAGGGGCACTTCTTAAAAAACAAAAAAACAAAAAGTTTGAGGCAAACAGAGGTTGGTTCATGAGGTTTAAGGAAAAGAAGCTGTCTCTATAACATAAAAACACAAGATGAAGAAGCAACTATTGATAGAGAAGCTGCAGCAAGTTATCCAGAAGATCTAGCTAAAATCATTCTATTCTGTTGGAAGAAGATGCTATCCAGGACTTTCACAACTAGAGAAGAGAAGTCAATGCCTGGCTTCAAAGCTTCAAAGGACAGGTTAATAACTCTCTGGTTAGGGGCTAATGCAACTGGTGACTTTAAATTGAAGTCAAGGCTCATTGACGATTCCATACATCCTAGGGCTGTTAGGAATTAAGCTAAATCTAAATATATGCGTCTACTATATACCCAAAAATTGAAAATTAGAACAATAAAAGTAAAAAAAATTAAAAAATTAAAAACGATGTGAAATCTACTTTGCCTGTGCTCTATAAATGCAGTGACAAAGCCTGAATAACAACACATCTGCTTACAGCATGGTTTACTGAATATTTTAAGCTCACTGTTGAGACCTACTGGTCATAATAAAAGATTCCTTTCCAAATATTACTGCTCATTGACAATGTACCTGTCACCTGGGAGCTCTGATGGAGCTGTGCAAGGATATTAATGTTGTTTTCATGACTGTTAACACAACATCCATTTTGCAGCCCATGGATCAAGGAGTAATTTTGACTTTCAAGTTTTATTACTTAAAGAAATATATTTTATAAGGTTATAGAGGCCACACACAGTAATTCCTCTGATGGATCTGGGCACAGTAAATTGAAAACCTTCTGGAAAGAATTCACTATTCTAGATATCATTAAGAACATTCATGATTCATGAGAAGTCAAAATATCTATCAACAATAACCAGAGTTTGGAAGAAGTTGATTCCAACCCCTCCTGGATAACTTTGAGAGGCTCAAAACTTCACTGGAGGAAGTAAGTATAGAGGTGATAAAAACGGCGAGAAAACTAGAGTTAGAAGTGGAGCCTGAAGATAGGACTGAATTACTGCCTTCTCATGATAAAATTTGAATGGATGAGGAGTTGCTTTTTATAAGCAAAGAAAGTGGTTTCTGGAGAGAGAATCTATTGTGGTTCCACTCAAAATGCTGTGAACACTGTTCAAGTGACAACAAAGGATTTAGAACATTACAAAAATTTAGTTGACTAAGCAGTGGCAAGGTTTGAGAGGACTCATTCAAATTTTGAAAGAATTTCTACTGTGGGGAAAATGGTATCAAACGGCATCACAGGCTACAGAGAAACCTTTCATGAAAAGCAATTGATGTGGCAAACTTCGTTGTCTGATTTTTTTAAGAAATTGCCACAGCCATCCCAACCTTCAGCAACTACCACCATAATTAATCAGCACCATCAACATTAAGGCAAAATCTTCCACCAGCAAAACCATTATGCCTTGCTGAAGGCTCAGATGATGGTTAGCATTTTTAAGCAACAAAGTATTTTTTAAATAAAGGCATGTACACTGGTTTTTAGACATGATGCTATTGCACACCTGATAGACTATAGTATAGTGTAAACATAACGTTAATATGCACTGGGAAACCGAAGAATTCATGTAACTCGCTTTATAGAGATACTTGCTTTATTGTGGTGGTCTGGAACTGAACCCATACTATCTCTGGGTTATGCTTGTACATAGAAAAATAAACAGAATTTTATAGTTTTAGAGCTGTGAACATCCTTAGGACATTTATTTCAATGCCTAGAATGATTTAAGTAACTCACTTAGGTCACAAAACTGAGGCAGTAGTATATATTTGTATATACATACAAACATTTTGAAAGTAACTATACCTATAATAATTGCTTAAGAGGTATGCTTCTGTACTCTAAAATGTTTATCATGAACTTGTATAACTTTGATAAAAGTGAGAATTAAAACAAACAGGAGTTTCACGAGTATAGAATTTACAACGTATTTGAATTAAACAATTTAAAGCCAGTAACGACTATATCCACTCTTACCTGAATGGCATAGGCAGCTGAATCTTGAGCTCGGCTATTATCAGCATATGCAAGGTAAGCTCTTGTTAGCTCCATCAATAATCCATAGGCAAAGCTTGAATCTTCTACTCCAGTCTCCATTAGAAAAAAAAAAAAAAAAGAAAATTCCAGGATAACTGCTATAAATTTTCTTAGGTGTACTTCTTCTTCCATGGTGAATTTAACTTAACTGCCTAAGTGAATTTAACTTAGACAAAGGAAAAGACAGGTTCAAACTAAGTTTGGTATTAAGACTACAATATAATCTGTAGCTACAAAGCCAAAATGTAAAGCTTTTTAGGCTATTTCTAAGGTGTACAAAAAATTATTCAACTTTTGCATATCTCTGACAATTTGCATTGTTGGTTTTTTAACCCTTAAAAAGCAAAATGTAGGCCAGGCACAGTGGCTCACACCTGTAATCCCAGCACTTTGGGAGGCCAAGGAGGACGGATCACGAGGTCAGGAGTGCAAGATCAGACTGGCCAATATGGTGAAACGCCATCTCTACTAAAAATACAAAAATTAGCCAGGCGTGGTGGTGCGCGTTTGTAATCCCAGCTACTCGGGAGGCTGAGGCAGGACAATCACTTGAATCCAGGAGGCGGAGTTTGAAATAAGCCGAGATCTTGCCACTGTACTCCAGCCTGGCTGACAGAGCGAGACTCTGTCTCAAAAAAAAAAAAAAAAAAGCAAAATGTATACATGGCATCTCCTACATTGCATTCTGTAGAGCCCAAGAGTCATTTGAGAAACTCTAAGAAATAATTTTAATATACTCATATATTATAACTCTTGGAGATATATTCTTAGAGATTCACAATGCACACAGATACATAAAAAGTCACTTAAAAAAAAAAAGTCACATTTAATTTTGTTCTATATGGATTTCCCAAACTCATTTGACTACAAAACATTATTATTGTAAAAAAAAAAGTCACATTTAATTTTGTTCTATATGGATTTCCCAAACTCATTTGACTACAAAACATTATTATTGTAATATCCTGGAAACTAGTTTTCCACGGAAACACTAACAATAATGTTTAAAAAGTAATATTTAAATAATTGATTAGGCTTTTTAAGTATTGTCATTATTATATTTGGAAGCTTTATTTACAAGAATATAACACCCTGGATGGGGTTCAAACTTTATTGCTTTTGGCTAAAGGTTTCTGCAATAGTATTAAGAAACAAACTCAGAGGTTAACTAATTGTCTGGTTCTAGGTGAAGCTGTCATTAAGAATACCCTGAATAGTTCTTTGTAAATGGAATATATAAACCTCAATAGGACAGAGAACTCTTTTGTCATTCCAAATTTCCACTACTTACCACAAACGTAAAATCTTTTCCTTGAGTTTCAGTTGTTGAGAAATCTAATCGACCTGGATCTATCGCCCCCAATTCCCCTAAACATTCCCCACAGAGCAACCGAGCTTGAGAGTTTGCATCTTGGCAACCTTTCAAAAGCACTGTCACCAACTGTGAGATAATAGGTTCTACTGTTTCACTGTCTGTTGCATACTTTATCAGTTTTTCCTAAAATAAAAGTAGAAAGAAAATTTATATGAAATTTCTACAAACTAGTATGCTTTCCTGAGCTAGGAAGCTTAAAAATATTAAGGAATATCTAACATAAATATTGACAAAATTAAATTTCTGTATCTGCAATCTTTCCAGCTAGTTTTTGACGAGTCCGCATAACATAGCTCACAATATGTCCTGTACAATTAGAATCATTAAATGTCTGAAAGTTTTTAATCATTAATCCATTAAACAAGCAGTTACTGTGCATTCTATCAGTATACAAAAAAATCAGTAAAACAAATCTTAACAAGTTCACAGTCTAAAAGGAAAACAGACAAACAACTAAAATATCATATGATATGTACGATAACAAATATATTTATACAGCAAAGAAGCAATGAATAAGAAAAAAAACAGTAACTTTTAAAAGCAGTGGACAGATATTTCAGTAGATAAGTGAAGGAGGAACAACTATTAGTTAAAACAAGAAGTTTGAAAAGTGTATAAAAACTAGTAAAGAAGGAAAAAAGATATAAAAAAGGGTCTGTGAGGATGGAAAAAAAGAGGTAGGAAGAAAGAGGTAGCCTAATGATAAATATGTTAATTCAAATCGTCTTTTTTCAGCTATCTCTTCAGGATGCTGTAATGAATAAAATGTTAAGTAAGAAGAAACTATTTTCAAGACAGTGAAGATTTAGATATTGTACTTGTGTGATCACTTTAAAATTACTTCATTTATATTATATTCTTTCTAGCAAAAGTAAAGTGCATAGGAGCATCTCAAACTCCACGTTAGAACTGTAATGAGTAATACAAATTAGAGTAATACGTTTCAAAAGAAAAACAAAAAGACATTTAATCTTATGCAGAATCTTCAATAGATGATTTCTTAAATAACATTACAGATTAATTCAGCTGTAAAGACCGCCCCCCCACCCCCACACCCGCCACACATACACACCCTGGTAATCAGTTAAAAGTAAAACTCAGATAAGAAGTGTCACTTTTTATCATACACTAAATGTCCACATGTACTTGGGTCTATTTCTAGACCTCCTATTCTTTCCCACTGGTCTGGTTATTCATATACTAGTTACCTCTTTGTTATAATTGTAGTGGCTACAAAGTATATTAATGTTTGGTTGGGATACTATATTCTCATAACCTTTTTTTCCAGGGGGAGTTTACTAGCTATTTTTACATGTTTTATTTTTCCATATCAACATTATTATAAACCTCCTGCAGTTAAAAACAACAACAACAACAACAACAACAACTTTGGCAACATATTCATTGGGGTTGCATTATATTAATTAACCTAAGGAGAATTGAAATCGTTATAACGTCAACCTATCCAATAAGGGATTGATCTAGCTTAGATATCTGTCCCCTCCAAATCTCATATTGAAATGTGATCCCCAGTGTTGGAAACGAGACCTGGTGGCAGGTGTTTGGGTCACAAGGGTGGATCCCTCCTGAATGGCTTGGTGCCATCCCTGTGGTAGTAAGTGAGTTCTTTCTCTATTAGTTCAGCTGTCAGCTGGACTCCATTAGTTCAAGTGAGAACTGGTTATTTGAGAGCATGGCACTCTTCCCATCCCTCTCTTGCTCCCTCTCTCACCATGTGATATACCAACTCCCCTTCCCCTTCTGCTACGAGTAAAGGCTCAGGCTTGCTGAACTATCATCAGAAGCAGATGCTGGCACCATGCTTCTTGTAAAGGTTGCAGAACCATAAGCCAAATAAACCTCTTCTTTTTAATAAATTACCCAGCCTCAGGGTAATTTACTATAATTCCTTTATATCAAAGCAAATAGACTAAAACAGTGATGGTTTCCATTTAGTCAAATCTATTATCCTTTTGTGTCTTTCAGAAGCATTTAAAAATTTTCCTCTTGTTGGTTTATGCATTTCTTGTTAAGTTTATTCTTAACTATATTGTTTTCCTGTTGCTATTGTAAATGGGGTATTCCAGAAAATTTTCTACCTGGTTACTGCTTGTCATATGAAAATTATTAATTTTTACGTTAATTTTATATCCCCTACTTCACTGAATTCATCTGTGGTCGAGTTAGTTTTATCAGTAATTCTCTATAATTTCCGAAGTATATTAGCATAAGAAATGGAGACAGTTTTACATCTTTTCCAATTCTTACGTCTCTGATAAGCATATCATCTGTAAATAAAGATAGTTTTACATCTTTTCCAACTCTTATCTCTCTGATTGCTTTTTTTCCCTAAATTCCTTAGCCAATACCTCCAAGTGAATGTTAAATAGTGCAGGTAATAGGAAACCTTGCTTTCAGTGGGAATGTTTCTTGTTTCCCATTAAGTATGTGTATATATGTATGTACGTATGGGTACGTACCCATACGTACATATATAAACATGCATACATATACATACACATATATTACAAATTAAGATAATATTCATCAATTTCTGTTTTCTTTAGTGTTTTCATTTGAAGTAGGTGATGAAATATGTCAGTCTATTCAGCATCTATGGAAATAACAGCATGATTTTCTCTTTAGATCTATTAATATAGTGAATTATATTCATGGATTGCTAAGTATTAACTATCTTTGCAATACTGGAATAAAATGCAACTGGTCATGGGGTATTGTGGGTTTGTTTTTTTTTGTTTTGTTTTGTTTTTTTGAGACAGGGTCTTGCTCTGTTGCCCTGGCTGGAATGTAGTGGCATGATCTTGGCTCACTGCAGCCTCAAACTCCCCAGGCCAAGGTGACCCTCCCACCTCAACCTCCAAGTAGCTTGGACATTAGGCATGTGCCACCACACCTGGCTAATTTTTGTATTTTTTGTAGAGATGGGGTCTTGCTATATTGCTCAGGCTGGTCTCGAACCCTTGGGCTCAAGCAATCCATGTGCCTTGGCCTTCCAAAGTGTTGGGATTATAGGCATGAGCCACTACACCCAGCATGGGGTATTTTCTTAATGTGAAATTGATTTGTTTGATAATATTTCATTTATAATTTTTTGCACTGATATTAATATGATAATCTTTAATTTTTTGTTTCATGCTATCTTTTTTGGGTCCACTGAACACTGTTATATATTGCTGCTTTTTTAAAAGTGGAAGTTTTCTTTCATCTCCTATACTCCAGGGCAATTTAAACACCACTGAGACTATTTAGTTTGTGAAAATTTGATTAAAAAATCCCCTCATCTGGGCCTGGTGCTTTCCTATGGATGAAGTTCTTTTATAATATTCTCTATTTCTCCTACAGAAACTAATCTTTTAAGCTTTCTATTTTAGCTAGAGTCCATTTTGATACACTATATATTCCAGGAAAAGTACACATGTTTACAAATTTATTTGTGTAAAAGGGTACAAAGTAGTCTCTTGTGATTTTTAAATATCTTCTATGTTTCAACAGTTTATTATTTACATATTTGACATTTGTCAGTTTTGCTAGTTTTTTCAAAGACCTAGAATTTTTACTCATTAATTAATTTTACTGCTTTCTGTTCTCTACATTTCTTTTATTTTTATTATTTTCTTCCTGTACTATCTTTTCTTAAATAGTTTTAATGAAGTATTTGTTTCACGTACTATAAAATTCACTCTTTTAAGGTATACAAATGAATGATCTTTAGTATATTCACAAGTTTTAGTATATTGAAGTATATCACAAGTGCAACCATCACTTCTGTTTAATTTCAGAACATTTTTACCATCTCAAAAGGAATCTGTACCCATCAGCAATCACTCTCCATTTCCCCCAAACCTCCTAACCCTAGGCGACCAGTAATCTACTTTCTATCTCTATGGATTTGTTTATTCAGGAATACCAAAGATTGCCAGCAAACCACCAGAAGCTCTCAAAAGGAACCAACCCTGCCAATACCTTCATCTCAAACTTCTAGGCCATGGGAACTGTGAGACAATAAACTTGTTTATGTTGTTTAAAGTCATTCGGTTTGTAGTACTTTGTTATAGCAGCCCTAGTAAACTAACACAAAGAGCCAACTAATACAATAATCAATTTGAATATGAATGTTCTATCTGCTCTTTAGAATAAAGTATGCTTCTATTATCAAGGTGTAATGTCTGACATATATTCACAATAGCTACTTTACTGATTATGTTATTTAGATCTTCTATGTATTTATCTACTAACTTATTTTATACTGAGAATAGTATGGTAGTCTCCTCTTATTGAGTTTCTATATATATCTTCTTAAGCTTCTTATTTTGGCTTTATCAAGGTGGCTGGTATATTATTTGGAGCATATTAATAACTAGTAAATCTTCCTTATGAATTATGGCTTCAGGCATTAAAAAGTATCCATTTTGGTCATATTTAATGCTTTTCGGCTTCAGTTCTATTTTGTTTGGAATTCCTGCTTTCATTTATACTTTCCACTTAGCTGGATAATTTTGCTTATCCCTTTATTTTTGGCCTTTCTGAATCACTTTATTTTAGGTATGTATCCTACATGTGGCAGAGAGTTGTTTCTTGCTTTGTAAGCCAATTTGTAAATTTTTTTCTTTTAAGGTTGTTCACACTCACTAATGCGACTGAGATGCTTGGCCACAATTCTGTCAGATTTTTTATTATAATACAGTGAATTTAATTATAATATAGTATACTATAATTAGTGCTTTCTTTCCTCTATTCTGTTTTGTGTTTAAGAAATCATTTATTTGGGGCCAGGCACGGTGGCTCATGCCTGTAATCCCAGCACTTTGGGAGGCCAAGGCGGGTGGATCACAAGGTCAGGAGCTTGAGACCATCCTGGCTAACATGGTGAAACTCCATTCTCTACTAAAAAACATTTTTAAAAAATTAGCCAGGCATGGTGGGCACCTGTAGTCCCAGCTACTTGGGAAGCTGAGGCAGGAGAATGGCATGAACCCAGGAGGCGGAGCTTGCAGTGAGCTGAGATTGTGCCACTGCACTCTAGCCTGGGTGACAGAGCGAGTCTCTGTCTAAAAAAAAAAAAAAAAAATCATATATTTCATTTATTTGGGTAAGGAGGAAAG